AGAGCTCTACTGAATAAAATTAGTAAAATGGACTATATCAAAATAAAATTTTGTAGGTCAAAAGACACTATACTTAAAACAGAATAACATATTTCAGCACATAGGGTTTCTATGCAAAATACACATAAAATTACTCAAATAAATTAATGAGACAAACAACCCATAGAAATGTGGCCAAGGATGTGAATAGAGAAACTATTCTCAGTGGCAAAAACATAAAACGCCAGTTACCATAGATGTTCAAACTTTCTGGAGATTACAGAAATGCAAAGTAAATAAAAATGAGATATGTCGTAGGTATCAGGCTGACAAACATTAAAGAAATTTATATTAGGGGGCTGGGTATACAGAAAAAGTGAATCCACTCATATACTTGAAACACAGCTTTTGGAGAACAAATTAAAAACAGTTATTAAGTTTTTGGAACATGAGCATTTTCTATGACCCAGCAGTTCTGTTAATCTACCCAGGAGATCCCCTCACTCAAGTGCAAAAGGAAGTTGGTACAGGAATGTTCCTTGTAAACGCAAAAAAATGGCAATCACTGAAATGTCCACCAAGAGGAGTGGTTAAGTAAGATGTAGTACTTTATTCACACTAACATGCAACAGTGAAGAATAATGGGGTATGCCTAAAAATTATTATACAATTATCTTCAATACAGTGTTGGCATGAAAAGACAAAGTTGCAGAATAAGATATATTCCAATTTCCTTGAAACACACGCACATAAAAAAATAAAATATTTTTCCATGGCACCAGATATATGTGGAGCTCTTTAGCCTTATCCATATATACTGTTTTTTTAGCTCTTTAATTGTATTTCATATATAGTGTTTCATTAATTTTCCCCCAAGGTAAAAATCACTCATTAATTGTATAATTGAAAGTTAATAAAAATGAAAATATATTAGACTAAATTTACTCCTTCCCAAATTAGAGGATTTCAGCTACTCCAAATTAACAAAGACATCAGAACATCTGAGGACAATGTCATTATAGGTGGTGGGAAAATTTAGCTTATATACATTTTAATACATTTTAGTAGCTGATACTCTGCTGCAGGGCCGTCTTTTCCAAGCAACAAATTGCACAAAAATGCAAGTACTGTATTTGTCACCCTACAGCTAATATACAAGCATAAAACCAATGAGGTTTTGATAGGAAAATATGAAAGTGCAGTTGTGGTTATAACTTAAGCTCTTCTTTGGAAGACACCTGCTTTTAGACTCATTTCTCGTTTCGATTAACAGGAGCCACAGAACTGATAGGTGAGCACTGCCCTCCCGTGGCCGTGGTCTACATTGCAGAGTTTGTCTGGGTGCCCTTTTGTCCCCCAAATCTCAAACCAGAGGTTCTGTGTTTTGGATATCCCTTAAAAGTAAAATGTTTTGGAAATTCAAGAGGCCCACATAGGATTATAAATTTTTAAATTTGGACAAGTAAAGATTTTTGTAAAAGCCTCCCTTCTATAAGTTTGTAAAGGAACAGATATTAAAACCAAAATTTCAGAGAGGCCATAAACTTAAATAAAGGGATAGTTATGAAAAAACAGTTGAAAATTGCATATGAATTTCATACATATATGTTAATAAACTGTATATGTAAATATAAGGAACTGTATTAATAACTGAGATGGTTCATTTTATGTGTTAACTCAACTGGCCCACAGGATGGACGCCCAGATAGGTAGTTAAGCATTATCTCTGAGTGTTTCTGTGAAGGTGTTTCTGCAAGAGACTGGCATTTCAGCTGGTGGACTGAGTAAAGAAAATTTCTCTCCCTAGTGTGCGTGGCCTCATCCAAAGTTCCAAGGGCCCAAATAGAAGAAAAAGACAGAGGAAGGTTGGGAAATGCACAACCATGGCTCAGGGATGGTAGGGGCCCCTGCAGTACCGTGCGCTTGGGGAGTTCGCAGCGGTCCATTCTGCAATGGGCCAAGGGAAGCCTTCCATGGGGAGGCACCTAATAGGAGGGGGAACAGAGTTGCTATGCCATTGCATGGGGGGAGGGAGGGCTGCTGGAGGAAGCTGCCAGCTGCTCTGTGTTGCTCTCCACCAACTGCTGCAGAGCTGGGTGCTGGAGAGGCTATTCAGGCACCTGGAACCAGGGTTGAAGACTTCTTTCTCCTACTGTGTTTCTCCAGGAAAAATATTTATTTATTTTTTTAAAAATATTTTATTTATTTTTAGAGAGGGTAAGGGTGGGAGAAGAGGAAAACACCAATGCGTGGTTGCCTCTGGCACACTCTCTACTGAGGGCCTGGCCCATAACCTAGTTGTGTGCCCTGACTGGGAATCGAACCCATGACCTTTTGGTTCTCAGGCCGGCACTCAATCCACTGAGCCACACTAGCCAGGGCTCCAGGAAAAATATGTAAAGGGTTCATCTTTATTTTTCCAAAGCCTACAATTTAGAGTGGATTTGAAGCTGACAGTCCATAAATCAATACCTGATGTAATTGGCAGAGGAAGATGTGAAAAATGGGCTTTCATTTGTGAAACTAGTGCTAGACAAGACTTGGAAAGCAGATTTTTAAGCTATTCTCTCCCTTACATGAACAGGGTATGAGGATCTAGTGAGGCTTTCACTCTTAGGGATGGTCTGTCAATGGTCACACCAACCACTCTTAACAGGGGTAGAAAATTCTGTTTCTGTAATGCTTCTATCTGCTTTGAGAAAATCTTTCATGCACTGGGCTGGCAGGTGCATCTAAAAAGACAGAGAGCTGACACATTCCTGAACATACAGTTTTACGGGTCGTATGATCCCTACTTTCTAATGAATGTTTTAAAGTAAATGTCTGTGTGAGAAGATCTGGGTTGAGACTTGCTTTTATTATAACCTAGTAATGAAGTTGTGGGGCTTAGTTAACCATGACTAAGGCAAAGATTTTGGTGGCCGTCATCATCTACCAAAAACAACCTAAGAGTTGTACAGGACTGTTTTGGGATAGCTTTGGCTGCTTGGGTCCCTTAGCGGCACAGGCACCCAAGCGCTCTCTCATCTCTGGGCCTCTGTCCTTGCTGTACCTCTTGTCTATGAACACCCTTCCCAGGATATCTGATGGCTCACATTTTCTTTTCTTTTTTTTTAATTTTTATTTTTTTATTTTTTATTGATTATGCTGTTACAGTTGTTCTATTCCCCCTTTATTCCCCTCCACCCTACCCCCCATCCCCACCATCACCCCCCCTTTAGTTTATGACCATGTGTCTCAAGTCTTTTAGATTCTATATTTCCCATGCTATTCTTGCCCTAACATTTTCATTTCTTCATGCATTGGCTCCTTATATGTTAGTTGTATCCTCTGAGAACTAAGAACTATAACACCAAGTAAGAATTAAATAGGCAAGGATGTTATTAGGGAAAATGCTCTGTAAGAGAAAATGAAGGTGGGGCAGAGCCTGGGAAAGTTGGGAGAGCCATTAGGCCTTGATATGAGTCTGACTCTAAAGCGAGGGAGAGAGATGGGGGAGGGTGGGTAAAAGTGTCCTTGAGTGCGGTAATAGTCTAAGGAAGGCTTGGCAAGGCCACTGGGGAGTTCTCCAGCCCAAGCTGACCATCGGAAGTCCAGGTCTGCCTGAGTGTACATTTCTGCTTCATTCACTGAGTCACTGGGAGCAGTCCAAGGGAAGCAAGACCTCAGTGTAAACAGAGGGCAGAGTTCATAGTCCATCAGAGTGTCGGCCTCACAGCTTTGGCTGATTATGTTCCCTGTAGTTGGAGGCCCTTGAGGAGCAGTTTCATGGCTACCACATTTTATCAGTTTTCCCTCATCACCCTTATAAAACAGCCCCATAGAACCGTAGAACACCAACCACATTTCTCCATAGAACAGTAAAAACATGTTTCACAGACTGAATACAAGGTACATTTCAGAACAACAAAGTAACTGGTCTTGAGAGTACATTAAAACTGGATTAGTTGTAGGTATCAAGCAATATGAAGAGAACGAGAAAAGAGGAAGCAAGGGAAGGAAGAAATAGTTTGACCCAGCATTCAGGATTAGGATTTGGAAACGCTGTCATGGTTTATAATGGGCTGCAAGATCCTACAGGCTGTAAGTCCAAACATCTGATTTATGAAAAAAAGCTCATTTCATGTATTAATTTTTTACCTCCTTATTTTGGAGGTGAGATCCAGAGAAGGGAGACAACTTCCCAATACCATGTAGCAAAGTCAGTAGCAGAGTCAGAACTAGAACCGAGGTCCCTACACTTTTGAGTCATTCATTCATGAGGGAGTCCTCCCTTCTTCCTGGTGGCATGCTAAAGCCTAGTAGTAAACGGTTGAGGATGAGCTGAATAAACTGAAGTCTCTGGCTTCACAGAACTTCCAAGGAGGTGCTGGAGTTGAAACTTAGAAAATGAGTAGGAGTTTGCCAGACATCTGCAGGGAGGGGAGGCAGTGGGCAGGGCATTTGAGCCAGTGGGCAAAGTCGGGAGGCCTGAAATAGCCCTAGGTTTCCAAAATTACAAGTAGAACCACCTGACTCACCTGGAGTGACAGGCTAAGGGCCAAGGTGACTTGAGAGGAGGATGCACTGAAGACAGCATAGAACCCCTGCAGGCTTTGGGGCAGCGAATGGCAATGGTAAGAGCTACATTCTGTCTGTGACTGGAGCACAGGCTGAGTGGCTTGGTAGCTCACGCGAACAGGAACAACCGCGAACAGGAACAACCGCAACTAGGTAAGAAATGACGAGGGACAGTGGCAAAGGGAAAACAGAGTTAGGTGAGAGCACTGCACTGGAGTTGCAGAGAGCCAGACAACCTTTAAGTTTTACCTCCGCTGATTGCTAAGAAGTGAAGGACCTTGCTTTCATTTAGTTGCAAATGCTCAGCAAATGAGCATTGTGCGGGAAGGGAAGTGACTTCAGACTACCTGATGGAGCTCGGACAAAGGTCGCGACTAGGCGGGCGGGCCAGAACGGTGTCGCCGCCGTCAGCTCTTTCAGGTTCCGTGGTACTCGGCTCCGCCCACCCCTCCCGCTAGTCTGGGCCCACGGCTGCCCTCCGCACCTTTGCCTTTAGCCAGTAGTAAATGTGGTTGCAGGCTTTTCCGCCGGGGAGTGGGGTCAAGGGTTAAGGGTCAAACAAGATGGCGGCGCCCAGGAGCTGCTGACGCGTGAGGCAGAGGATGGGACTGGCGGCGCTGGCGGTGGGGGCTCGGCTGGGGCGCTGGCTTAGCCGGCCGGAGCTGGGGCTGGGGCCATGGCGAGGCCACTGGACAGCGGCCAGCCGCTCGCGGAGCCGGCGCGAGGCGGCAGAGGCCGAGGCAGACGCGCCAGTGTTCCAGTACGTGGGCGAGCGCGCCGCTCGGGTCGACCGCATCTTCGTGTGGGGCTTCAGCTTTTCCGGGGCGCTGGGCGTGCCCACCTTCGTGCTGCCCAGCTCTGGACCCCAGCCCCGCGCCGGTGTGCGGCCGCGCCGCAGGATCCAGCCCGTTCCCTACCGCCTGGAGCTGGATCAAAAGGTGCAACCTCTTCTCCCTCGCGAGGCATTTGGCCCTCTTTGAGAAGTTGGCAGCACTGGGTGGTCAAACTTTGGGGAGGACGACCCCGGAGCGGGCTGCAGGAGAGGCCCAGGGGAGGAAGGCGTTAGGGTCGCTGCCAACACTCACCGAGTGGCTGAAGTGTGCCAGGTGTTGTTGCCAGCTATTGTCATTCGCACATCACCCCAGGAATCGGGGTTGTCACCACAGTTACAGAGAAGGAAAGGGAGGCTCAGAGAGGTTAAAGGACAGGTCTCAGGTCTCACAGCTGCTAGGTGGGTGCGCGAACAGTGGGATTCTCCCTGGGGCCAGTGAGACTCCAAAAGTTCCACTGTTAGGAAAGGCGACTTTAAAGGGTCAGAGAAAATGGGCCCGCTGGAGTCGATGAACAACTCCGAAAGGAAGGATTTACTGGAGCAATAATAGGAATCAGGAAGGGTCAACAGCCTGAGCGCACTAGAATGGTTTGCACATGAGGCCTCAGACTTGACTCAGATTGGAAAAGACCACAGCAAAGGACAGCTTCAGCCAGGTGGTTATCTCCTGGGTGGCTGTGGAAGTCTTGATGGGTGATGAAAAAGAAGCAGATTTGACTTGTTTGGTTCCTGACTTCTGTCAAGGATAACAAACGATCTTTTAACTGAAACGGGGAGGTCAAGAGAAACCGGGAATTTAAGCTCAAGATGATGAAAGGTTGGATTGTTTACTTCTTAGGATTGAATTGTAAGATTTATTAATGTATTCCGGCCGTAGGTCCTTAATCACATATATGGTGATGCAAATACTTTTCTGGCAGTTTGTACTTTTTCTTTTTAAAAAAATTAACAGTGACCTTTGAAGAGCAAGTTTTTGATTTTGAGGAAATTAAGTTGACCAGTTTTTCTCCTGTGGATCATGCTTTTGGTATCACATCTAAGAAATCTTTGCCTAATCCAAGCTCACAAAGATAATTTTCCTGCTTTCTTCTAGGAGATTTTTAGTTTTAGTTCCTATATTTAGGTCTGTGATCCAGCCATTTAAGTTGATTTTTTTGTGTGTCTGATATGGGATAGGGTTTTATTCGTATGTGGGAAATGTAAGTCTTCCAGATTAAAAAAAAAGATTAAAAAAATTTTATTTTCAGAGAGAGGGGAAGGAGGGAGAAACAGGGAGAGAAACATCAGTGTGTGGCTGCCTGTCACGTGCCCCCTACTGGGGACCTGACCCACAACCCAGCCATGTGCTGTGACTGGGAATTGAACTGGCTACCCTTTGGTTTGCAGCTGGCATTCAATCCACAGAGCCACACCAGCCAGGGCTATAGTTGTATTTCTTGATGCATTGGTCTTTGTTATCATTATAAAATGTCTTCTTTGTTCCCAGTAACATTTTTTTTGTTTTCAATTCTGTTTTGTTTGATGGTGTAGCTGTTCCAGCTCTATTATCATTACTGTTTGCGCCCATCATTTGCTAACTTTTTACTTTCTATCTGTTTGTACCTTTGAGTCTAAATGTGTCTCTTTGGCTGCATATAGTTAGATCCTGTTTATTTTCTTTTTTTTATTCATTCTACCAACTTCTGCCTTTCAATGGAGTGCTATCCCTTTGCATTGAATGTAATTTACTGAAGGTAGGCTGTGCGTCTGCTATCTTGTTATTTGATGTCTTTTTTATTTCTCTGCCCCTCTATTTTCCCCATCTTTTGTGTTAAATAGCTATTTCACAGTGTAGCATTTGAATTCCCTTGTTATTTCTTTATTTCCTCCTTATTTCTTTTACTATGTTTTAAAAAAATGTTAAAAAAATGGTTGCCCTTGGGTTACATTTTAACTTAAAACAATACAATTTGGGTTAATAGTAAGCTAATTTTAATACTATACAAAGATTTTATTTCTTTATAGCTCCTCTAGTGTGCTATTATTGTCATAAATTACATTTATAATTATTGCTTTGTGCTCTTTTCTTTAAAATTAGGAGAAGACGTTAGAAACAGAAAATACATCTGTACTGTCTTCTATATTTTTATCCATTAAAAGTATGTTTACTTATGCAGTGACTTTCACCAGCGCCCCATATTGCTTCTTGTGGGTTTGCGTTGCTGTCCAGTGTCCCTTCGTTTCCGACTTGGGACTCCCTTCAGTGCTCCTTCTCTGTCAGGTCTGCTGGCAATGAATTCTTTCCATTGTTGCATATTGGATAGTAGCTTCCTTTCTTCTTTCTAAAGTTATTTTTAAAAAATGGCTTAATTGATATATAATTCACACACCAAACAATTGCATTTAAAGTGTGCAGTCAGTGGCTTTTGGTATATTACAGATTGTTAGTTTCTAAAATGATGGTAAAAATATATAACAATGTTTTCTGTTTTAACAATTTTAAGTGTAATTCATTGACATTACTTCAACGTTGTGCAACTATCACCCCTATTTATTTCTAAAACTTTTCATCACTTAAACAGAAACTCTGTGACTATTAAGCAGTGACTCCCCATTTTTCCTAATCCCAGTCCTTGTAACTGCTAATCTACTTTTTGTGTCTGTGAATTTGCCTATTATAGATATTTCATATAAGTAAATTATACGATATTTGTCCTTTGGTGTCTAGCATATTTTACCCAGCATAATTTCTACAGGGTTCATCCATATTGTAGCATGTAACAGAAACTCATTCCCTTTTACCACTGAATAATATCCCACTGTGTGTGTATTCCACATTTTGTTTACCCATTCAGCTGTTGCTAGATATTGGGTTGTTTCTACTTTTTGGCTGTTGTGAATATGCTGCTGTGAACATTGGTATACAAGCATCTCAGTCCCAGTGTTCAGGTTTTTTTGGTGTGTGTACATGAAAATGAAATTGCAGGGGCATGTGGTAATTATATTTTTAACCTTTGGAGGAACTCTCACACTACTTTCCGCAGTGGCTGCAGAACTTCACTTTCGCACAGGCAATTTCCCTACATCCTACCCAACAACTTTCTTTCATTTTATTTTTAAACAGCCACCCTTGTTATTTGTTATTTTTTTAAAGGTTTTATTTATTTACTTTCAGAGAGAGGACAAGGGAGGGAGAAAGAGGCAGAGAACCATTGGTGTGTGAGAGAAACATCGGTTGGTTGCCTCTTGAGTGTGCTCTGGCTGAGGATGGAACGTGCAGCCCAGGCATGTGCCCTGACTGGGAATTGGACCAGTGACCTTTCACTTTGTGGAAGGACACCCAGCCGACTGAGCCACACCTGTCTGGGCCCTCCGTTTATTTTTCTTCATTCTTTTCCTGTTTCTCAGATTGGATCATCTCAATTGACCCGTCTTCAAGTTTGCTCTAATCTAATAAGAGCTCATCTAGTGAATTTTTAAATTCAGTTACTGTACTTTTCAACCTCAGAATTTCTATTTGGTTCTTTTTTTTTTTTTAAATAAATTTTACTTAGTTATTTTTCAAGTATTTGGTTCTTTTTTTAATAATTTCTCTCTCTTTATTGATATTCTGTTTGGTGGGACATTGTTCTCATACTGTTCTTTAGTTTTTCACATGTGGTTTCTCTTAGTTCTTTGACTGTATTTAAAGCAGTTGACTTTAAAGTCTTTGTCCTAAATCCAACATCTGGGATTCCTCAGGAACAGTTTTTGTTGACTGCTTTTCCCCTCTCCTGTGGAAGGGCTATAATTTATTGTTTCCATTGCTTGTGTTTTTTCTTGTTGTTGAAAACTGCTCATTAAAAATGATACAAGGTGGCAACTCTGGAAATAAATATTCCCATCACTCCAAGGCCTATTGTTGTTGCTGTTTATTGTTGTTCAGTGATTTCTTTGAACTAATTTGGTAAAGTTTATATTCTTTGTCACGTGTAGGCACTGATGTATCTGTTCAGTTAGCTTAGTGGACAGCCAGTAATTGGACAGAAATTTCCTTAACTGCCTATAAACAATAAATCGCTCCATGTTTGCTAAGGGGTCAGGCCAAATAAAGACAGCCTTGCAAGTGGGGCCTTTGGGGAACCACCAGATAGTTTAAATGAGAGTTCTCTGGAAACGGGGCCCTGAGGCTCCAATCCTATTCTGCCCCCTTCAGTAGCTGCCAGATTTCTGATTTCCACCATGGTTGTAAGCTGTTGGTTTTCAAGGCCACTGCAGAGCTGCGGAGAGGTGAACGGGAATCTAGGGCAAGTTAGAACATGCAGATCCTGCTGTTCTTGCTGAGATTCTGCTGCTTTTCTTGAGTAAACACTCTTCAAATTCCTCCAAGCCTTTGGTGCATTTCTAGAGTTCTGAAAAGTTGACCCTAACAATATTTGCCAGTGTTTTCACTGATGTTACTCAATCCACGTCTTTTTAATGTAATTATTGATAATGTGGGTTATACCTGCCATTTTGCTGTCTTTTTTTTTGTTCCTTCCTCTCTTCCTTTACTGCCTTATTTGTGTGTTAAATAGGTATTTGTCTAGTAAACCTTTTTATTTTCTTTGTTGGGTGTTTTACTATATTTTTTGAGTTCTTTAGTGGTTGCTTTTGGGATTACAACATGTGTCTTAATTTATCACAATCTACTGTGGGGTAGTAGTGACCCAATTCATAAAAATTATAGTAACTTTCTTCCAACATAGCTTTATCTCCTCCTTTCCTTTTTGTGGTTACTGTGATGTATATTACATCTTTTTATGTTTTAAACCTACAGTATAATTCTGTAATTATTGTTTTATGCAGTTGTCTTAAATCATTTAAGAGAAGAGAAAAATATATTTACACAATGCTTTATAATTACCTGTGTAATTACTTTCACTGGTGTTGTTCATTTCTTCTTGTGATTGTTAGTTATCATCTGCTGTCATTTCCTTTCAGCCTGAAGTATTTTAAAAAATCAAGATGTAATTCACATATAACATTGTATAATTTTAAAGTGTGCATGTGTTGACTTTTGATATGTTTATGTATTGCAATCAGATTGCCAACTATGCATTAGCTAACACATATACTGTATCACAGAATTGTTTTTAAAAAAATTTATTTACTGATTTTAGAGAGAGGAAGGGAGGGTGCAGAGAGAGAGAGAGGGAAATTGGTTTGTTGTTCTATATATTTCTGTATTCATTGGTTCATTCTTATATGTCCCCTGACCAGAAATCGAACCTGCGGCCTTGGTGTATAGAGATGGTGCTCTAACCAGTTGAGCTACCTGGCCAGAGCTATTATTTCTTTCCTGTGGTGAGAACATTTAAGATCTAGTCTTACCGACTTTGAAGTGTATTGTACATCACAGATGACAGAAGCACTTCAAGATATGTGGTGCTAGGTCTCCCAGCAGCGAACTCTCTCAGTCTTTGGGAATGTCTGTATTTCATCTTTGTTTTTTAAAGGTAGTTTTGTTGGATATGGAATTCTTAGTTGGCAGTTTTTGTTAGTACTTTGAAAATGTCATTCTGCTGCTTTCTGGTCCCCATTGTTTCTGATGAGAAGTTAGCTGTTAATATTGTTGTTCCTTTGTACTTGAGGAATCCATTTTCTTTTTGATGCTTTTAAGATAGTCTCTATTTTTCAAGAGTTTAACTGTAGTTTGTTGAACAAGTTTGATCTGTAGATTTATGGTTTGCATAAAATTTGGTAAATTTTCTGGCCGTATTTTTTTCTTTGTTTTCAAATACTAATGTTTACTCTTTAAAAATTTTGTTATTAAGTGGTATTGGAGTAACATTGGTTAATAACATTCTATCAATTTATGTGGCCTGACCAGTAATCAAACCCCTGACCTTTCGGTTTGTGGAATGATGCCCAAGCAACTGAGCCATACCGGCCAGGGCAGCATTGCATCTTTTTAATGACTGAGTAATATTTCACAGCATATACATACTATGTCCTCTTCATCCAGTCTTCTGTGAAGGACGCTTAAATTGTTTCCATGTCTTGGCTATTGTGAATACTACTGTAGTGAATAAGGTGTACATATATCTCTACAAATAGTAGATATTTCAGATTTTCAGGTAGATACCAGCACAGGGATTGCTAGAGCATATGGAAGCTCTGTTCTTACTTTTTTCGAGGAACTTCTATACCTTTTCCATAGTGGCTGTACCAGCTTACCTTCCCTCCAGCTGTGGGGGATGGTCCCTTTTCTCCACACCCGGTTCAGCGGTTGTTATTCCTTATCTTATTGATAAGAGCCATTCAGACAGGTGTGAAGTGGTATCTCATTGTGGTTTTGATTTTTCTTATAACTAATGATGTTGAACATCTTTTCATATGTCTGTTGGCCATCTGCATGTCCTCTTTGGAAAAGTGTCTATTTAGGTCCCCTGCCCATTTTTAAATTGGATCGTTTTGTTGCTGTTGAGTAGTTTGAGTTCTTTTTTGAAAAATTCTTTTAAAATATTTTATTTATTTACTTTTAGAGAGAGGAAAAGGGAAGGAGAAAGAGGGAGAGAAATATCAATGTGTGAGAGATACATTGATCTGTTCCCTCTTACATGCCCCAAATTGGGGACCTGGCCCATAACCTAGGCATGTGCCCTGACTGGGAATCGAACCGCGATTGTCTGGTTTGCAGGCCCATGCTCAATCCACTGAGCTACACCAGCCAGGGCTAATTTTTTAAACACAGTTAAATGTTTTCTTTTGAACAATAGTTCATGAAAGTCTTTGACAAATTCATCATCTTTGTCCACATAAGGTCAGTTTCTGCTTTTTCCTCAGTGTAGGTCATACTTTCTTGTTTCTTTGCATGTCTTATTCTTTTTTAATAAAACTAGACTTTCTGATGATATATTATATACACTCTGGAATCAGATAGCTTCCACTTACCTGCTTTGTGAGTATTTTAGGCAAGTTACTTAATCTTTAACTTGTGTCAGAAGGAACCTTGTATCAGCTGATTGTTGTTGGCACAAATTCAATGCCAACATGAATCCCCAGTTTGGGATGCAGTGAAGAGGGATACTTTATTCAGTGCAAACAATGATACAGCACAGCTGTGTGGCTGCCCCAGGGCCAGGCCCCTTTTCAGCTAGGGAGCTCTGCTCAGTTCCACTGTGTGCTGGTCTGCTCCCCTATACTCTGGTAAGACATCTTGGGTGTTTCAGCTCTAGCGAGGGAATGGCAGTCTTCAGTGGAAAATCAGCTCTCTGAGCCAGAGAGGAGCTGGCATATATGGACAGGAATCACTATTCTTGGTCCTTGGTTGGTCCATCCTTATGCAAATGAGGGCTCTGAATCCTTGCAGTTTGACTGGCCCAAAAGGCCCTTCCTTCATCCATCAGAATAGAGCTGCTCAGATTGGTCAGAGCTGTGCAGCTCTGATTGGATGGGGAAAACCTTAGTCCTATTGGTTGAAATAGGATTCCAGAAATCCTGTATAATGGCTGGCTCAGATGGCAAGAAACACAATATGAGGGCAATTCAGCACAGGCTTCTCTGTGAAGTGCAGATTGCATGAGAAGCCCCTGTGCAGAAATGGTTACTAGGCTCTGTTTTTTAACATTTGATCCCATTAGCTACCAGGAGTTCTTCCCACCCTCCCACCCCAGGTTCACACTTGATTTCCTCATCTATCAAATACTACTGCTGGTAGTAATAATAACTACATTAAGTCAGATGCTGTTTACTGTAAGGGCTTTAGCTGTACTAATTTAGTCCTCACACTAACCTAATGAGAAAGGTATTTATTATCTCTGTCTTACAGAGAGGGAAACAGATATAGAAGGTTTAGTAATCTGTCTCGGGTCACACAGCCGGTAAGGGATAGAGCAAGATTCAAACTAAGGCAGGTATCAACTTAACTGCTATGCTAGACTATGTCCGAGTGAGTGGGGATGATGATAATACTTAGTTACAGGGTGGCTGGAAAAATTAAATGAGACAGTTCATGTCAAACACTTAACGCAGTAAATGTTGAATACATGTTAATTGCTATGTTAATAGTATGTGTTCTTGGATTGGGTAAATAACCTGCCATAAATTGCCCAAAACAACTTGATATCACAAGTCAATTAATGCCTTATGTGGACTCTTTTTCAGATTTCATCAGCTGCTTGTGGCTATGGGTTCACGTTGCTGTCCTCCAAAACCAAGGATGTTACGAAAGTTTGGGGTATGGGACTCAACAAAGATTCTCAGCTTGGATTTCACAGGAGCCGGAAAGATAAAAGTGAGCATTCTCACGTTGGCTTCTCTCTGCTGTGACTGGTCTGAGAGCTCCCTTTGGGTTTTCATGAGTATGATTACATAAACCAAAGCATAACAACAAAATAGAGTCTTAAAGGGATGCTGTTTGAAACCATTTGGGTTAGATTGTTTTTCAGCCTCTTTGGTATAATAATATTGAACCTTTAGGCAGAGGCATTTGCTGATAAGTAAAAATGTTCCATTTTGCTCCCAAAGTGATGACCTTCCTTTCTCAGCTGGGAGTTAGCCTGAAACTCTCTGCAGCACCTGGGGCCTGGGCTTGGGGAGTTTGTGCAGCACCTGGGGCGTGGTCTGGGGGTTCAGTGTGGTCCTGATGCTGGAGGCCTCATTCCAGCTGTTTGGAACTTGGGTTGTAAAAATGTTAGAAATGATTTCTAGTGACATTTTAAAAAGTAGACATTAGCCAGACAATGTTTTAAGAACAATAAGAAATGTTTTTTTAAACTAAGGGAGAAATTACCTAGACATACATACTAGGACACACCTTTTCCTTTTTCCCTGTTTTCTCATTTATATAATAGTACATTGTTTTATTTTGATCACAACGTATGTTTTATTTTCTGCCTTTTTCCACTTTATGTCATACCAGAATTCTTTTATAAGTTAGTGTTGAAGTTTTAGTAGCTGTAAGGTGCCACCTCACATTTTTTTATGCCATTTATTGGGAATAATTTTGGGTACACGCAGCAGTGGACAGAGTAGTGGGACGCGTCCGTGTGCTCCCAGCAGCTTCGTCAGCCATCGGCTCAGGCCGGTCTTGTTTTAGTCATTTCCCTTCAATCCACTGGAAGCAAATCCTGACATTATTGATTTCGTTCATAAATATTTCGGTGCATATCTAGAAAAGTAGGGACTCTAAAGTAAGTGCCACATTATCACCTAGAAATAATTAACAATATAGTAGCAGTATGATCTCAGTATCATCAAACATCTACTCAGTGTGCAAATTACTGGTCTCACGAATGTCATTGCATTTTTATTTTATTTTTTAAAATTTATTTGAATCAAGATCCAGATAAGGTCCAGACATTGCAATTGGTTGATAAGACTTTTAAAGGTGTCTTGGGTTTTAGTCTTTTTTCCTTGAAATTTATTTATTAAAGAAACCACATCATTTATCCTGTAGAATTTTCCAGTGTGGGGTTTGCTGAATGTGTCCCTGTTTATGACCTTTTACTTATTTTTATTTTTAAGATTTTATTTATTTTTAGAGGGGGGAAGGGAAGGAGAAAGAGAAGGAGGGAAACATCATTGTGTGGTTGCCTCTCACGTACCCCCCACTGGGAACCTGGCCCACAACCCAGGCATGGGCCCCAGAATGGGAATCGAACCGGCGACCCCTCGGTTCATAGGCCTGTGCTCAACCCACTGAGCTGCACCAGCCAGGGCTGTTTATGATCTTTTATATTCCTGTCAGTTGGTAGTTACATCTAGAGCCAGATTCCTTTTGAATGTTATATATTTACAGCTTCCCCTTAGGGGTAAATGAAGATAGTAATGGGGGAATGTGAGTCACTTCTCAGTATCCTAAAGTGCTGTGTATTTTCAGCTAATAAGGCTGTACCAGCTAACAACATTGTCTCATTTCTTTGATTTTGCCTAGAATTATATCACCTTACTGTGATAAGCCAGTTATTCCATGTTGATCAAAAACTCTGTCTGAATATTAAATTAGTCACTAATGAAACAAATGGGCAAGTATATTATTACAATCATAATAATGCCATTTATTTGGTAGGCAAAATCTTTTTTAACATGGGATTCAAAGGAGAAAGTAGAGGGGTTGTTTAGTGGGGTGTGGGTTGAGGACTGGTACGTTTGCAGATTTTCTCCTAAACTCCAGCCTACATTATAAATGTCCAAAAGCTTATCATTTAAAACCTACGAGAGGAATTCTTTATGGAGACCCATCTAGCTTCTTCAGTGGGATTGTACAGAACAGTAAGGTTCTTCTTTAGAGTGACTTCTAAAAAACTTTCCCCCTTACTTATTTTTTTAAATATTAAAATTTTTATATCATTCAGAATCCCAAAGGCACAGTAGAATAAACAATGACTAGTTTGCTTTCCCCCTCTGTCCTCTCCCCACATGGTATTTCTCCCTGAAGATGGCCTGTGTTCACAGTTCTGGGTTCCCCTCCTACGGAGATTTAGTGGGTATGCTAATAAATGCATCTACATATTCTTTTTGCCTCTTTTTCATATAACAATATTTGCTATTGTTCACTTTACTGAGAAGGTTAAGTGGCTATTGCAGGAAGAAAATGCTTTTACTTTCCTTAAAAATTCAAACACTATTGAATGACATGCAAAGAGGTTTTTAAATAAAACTAGTATACTTTGCAAGAACCCAAAATGTAACGGAGGCAATGGGATGCAGTAGGTTGAGAGTTGGGGATTGGGGTTCTAGCCTCAGCTTTGCCACTAGCGTACGCGTCTTGAGTAAGTCATTCCCGGGATCTGACTGAGTAACAAGGTGGCACTTCAGCAGCATATCTAATATTGGAGGGCTGGGGCTTTCAATCAGTGTGATGAGACCGATCGTTTTGGTTTCAGTGAGGGGATACGAGTATGTTCTGGAGCCCTCACCAGTCCCACTGCCTCTGGACAGACCTCAGGAGACACGGGTGCTACAGGTCTCCTGCGGCAGAGCCCACTCTCTGGTCCTCACAGACAACGAAGGGGGTGAGTTGACTTGTTCAAGACCTGTGGAAGAGTGGGGAGCTGCTTTCTTGCCGTTAGGTTTAAAGTGGCTTATTCGATTGAGCCACGTGTATTGAGGGAATCTGTTGGCATTTCCCGAGCAAGTCAGGAGGATGCCCAAGAGAGCTGTATTGGGCAGGCCTTGCTAAATCTTTTACGCTTTCTGCTCTGCGTGGTTCTTGGAAAACCTCAGGTGTCTGTGAATGGGACAGCACACACCAGGCAGCCTTACCAGAGCCTCCCACTCCCTTCGCATAAAGTCACCGAGCCGGGCTGCTTGTGCAGGTGGCTTTTTCTGTTGTTTTGAAAGAAACCTGCTTGCTAACCTTCTTCCAAGTGGTGGGGGCTTTCAGAGTCCAGGCTTGTGGGTAACCTCAACCCTCTCCAGAAGAGTGGTTTCTAGGGAAAGACCAGCTTGACTATGATTTTCAAGTTTCATTTTCTGTTTAAGTGTGCGTTGTAGGAAAAGGTGAAGATAGTGTTTTTTCAAGAGGGATTTTTGCATCGAGGGCAACCTAGTGACAGGTTCAGGAAATGGGGCGCCGAGGCCTTGCACAGGAGGTGCTTCCCTGCGTGAGGTGGGATTGCTGAGCGGCGGGACTGGGGCCTGGGGGGGAGGGCAGCAGGAGCAGCGAAGGTGGCACACGCTGATGCGGCAGGTCTGGACCTCAGCGCTCCTGTGGCTCTGCCCCCACAGGCTGCGAATGCAGGAGAAGGAAACCAAACAGCAGCTAGGATGAGTGGTTGGACTAGGACCAGTTTTGAGGTCCCCTTCCAGACCTGAGACTCCAGGATTCCATGAACTGAATTTGATTGGGGTGTTGTTTTTTCAGTCTTCAGCATGGGAAACAATTCTTATGGGCAATGTGGAAGAAAGGTGGTCGAGAATGAAATTTACAGGTAAGTTCCTGAAGGGACTTCCCCTTGCCCCAGTTGCACTAAGTATTAAACATTTCTTGAGTGATAGACCCACAGAGCAAGAAGGGAGACTCCCCTGAGAGCCGGGAGAGGGTTCTTCCACTGTAGGCTGAGCCCCCCCAAGTTAGCTTGGTGGGAGGGGAGGGCGCGTGAGCGTTGATTGTGATGGGTAGAAGTTCTTTGAATTAGTTTTTAATTTTTAACCAAATTGATTAACTTCACAAATTCCCCTCTGTTTCAGTCCTACTCATTTAGTCTTTTAAGAAAATTTCCCCCCAGTTCATTGCATTGTGCTGGTGGTTCTAAATACCAGTTTCAAGTCTGGCAGCATATGAAAATCACCAAAGGATTTTGTTTGTTTTCTTTCACTTTCACACCTTGGCCTAATTCCGCCTTATATTTCACCTTGAGAGTTTTCCTAACAGTCACTATGTATGTGGGGGCCACAATTAAAGGTGACAGGGGCGGGGCCAGAACTCCAGCTTCCTGTGAACACATCTTTTGCTTCTCCCCAAATTGCTTCTGGTGCAGTGAAAGTCACAAAGTCCACAGAATGCAGGACTTCGATGGACAAGTGGTCCAGGTGAGCCTCTCATGCTGCTCCCAGGGCGCTTGTGAAAGGGGGAGGTTGGGTAGAGTGGTGGCACATTTGGTAGGCAGATTTTCTGAATTAATAAATTATTTTAGTGAAAAGTCACTGCCTGCCTACTATAGACCAGGATTTGCAGTAGATCAAGGTCCAAAGTTTAATACGGTTTGGGGGATGACACTCTCGCGGGAGAGACAGACTGAAAAAATAGCTGTCAGAGCACTGTGGATGTCCTGGGCTGGCTTTATCTCGCTAAGTTTCTTCCCACCCCTAGTGCAGTGCCTGGCACATGGTCAGTACTTATAATAAATTCCTAACTAAGTGATGTACACAGAAATCTCTATGAAAGTACCAGTAGGGGAGTTGCTGAGTAGCTGGGATGGAATGGAAGGTAGAAAGGCATCATGGGAGGTGGCAGAGGAATTGACCAGTCAGACTGGTGGGAGGAAGAGTTTTCTGTCAGAGGGGAGGGAGCAGCTGGAGACTTTTAACTGTAGAGAACGTGCAGTGTGCTGGGGTTTTGTATGATTATGGCAGAGTTTTGGGGGATAGGCTGGAAGGTTCGGAGTGAGCAATGCGTGGTCTTGAATGCTTTGCTAAGGAATTTAGACTTCATCCTCTTGAGAGTTGGGGCCTATCAAAGGTTCTGAGCAGCAGGAGTGACAGCCACACCACGCTCTGTTTAGAAAGATAACTTTGGCAATGGTGTGGAGTAGAGTTGGAGGAGGAAGTGATGATGAAGGGCACTTAGGAAGCCATGGGGAGAAGGGACAGGTGGAGAGACATGTAAGGAGAATTGACTGGGTTTGGGGCTTGCTCACACGAGCAGGGAGTGAGCTAGAGGGAACTGAGCGTGAGTCTGTAGGCAAATGACTTGGCGGCTGATGTTCTCAGCCTGGGTGGGTGTGCACTGGAGGAGGAGCACACTCGGGTGGCTGGGCCAGGGAAGTGAGGAGAAGCGAGAGAGGGGAGTTGCAGTAGAACAGAGTGCTTCTTGCACAGGCTTCACAGTCACATGGATGCGAGGTTAACTCCTTGCTTCTCCACGTATTAACGGATGACTTTGGGCAAGTTTGCAAACTTCTCTGAGACTCAGTTTCTTGCTGGGTGGTCTTGCTTATTGACTTGGCATAGTGTCTGACATAAGTGTTTGGTGAAGGGGCTTTTCCTTTGGTAGTTAGGGAAAGAGGTTCGAACTGAGATTTGTTGGGACTGGAGAGAACAGTGTGGAGGTGACAACGAAAGCCTTGGGATTAGATGCAGCCTCCCAGGGAAGTGTGAAGATTGAGGAGGGAAGAGGGCAGGGAACAGAATCTTGAAGGGTTCCAGTACTGAAGGGTTCCAATACTGAAGGGTAGGAGGTAGACATGGAGCAACTGACAAAGACTGGATGTTACTAGAGAGGCAGAAGAGTGGAAGAGCAGAGAAAGCTTTTGGAGGAGAGAGTGGTTCCTCAGGTGCGGAGGTGATGGAGGAGCTCTTGGGTTTATTCCTTAGGACACCTGGCACTTTACTTCAACAAGAGCAGTTTCAGTGGAGTGGGAGACAAAAGCTAGGCTGCAGTGCATTGAAATGGATAAAAGATAAGAGGCAGTGCGGGGCAGCCCGCCTCGCTGAACCCAGCCTGCCGGGCGCTCGGGAGCATAGGGAATGCTGCTAGGCTTTGGGTCCCTTGACTAGGACCCTGGGCTTCTAAGGATTTCTTTTCATCAACCTCGCCTCTGTCTGTCTGATAGGTCGCCTGTGGTCAGGACCATAGCCTGTTTCTGACGGATAAAGGAGAAGTCTATTCCTGCGGATGGGGCGCGGATGGGCAGACAGGTATTGTCCCTTTCACCCTGGGGGTGGTGGGATGTGGAGGTGTAGGCCATAGGGCTCTCACTGACCAGAACCCACCCTCCTTAGTTTGGTTCTTGGGGAGCCCGTTCTGCTTCTCGAGTCCCGTTCCCGTCACCCCTGGCTCCCATAGCTATGAACTGATGAAGGGTTGGATGGAGGAGTGGAGCCGCCCCTCAACAAAGGAGCTTTGAGCCTTGTGAAGAAGAAGCCAGTGCCACCTGAAAGGAGCTCGATTCTACCTGAGTTCAGAAGAGTGTCATTAAGGGAGGGAGGAATAAGGAATAAGCTTTATCACCTTGTATATTTAATTTTTTTGTTTCTGATATTCATCTGAAGGAAAGGCCTTTAAATTACAAATTAAATCCTGTATAAATCCTCAGTAACCCTACCCCCACCGGACAGGCTGTGTTCACCTGTGTACACTTCTGTGTTGTAATGGCAGCATGGGTGTGGTTTGGTGCGCGTGGTTTATCGTTTAAGTTTGCATACACACTCTTCCACATTGGTAGAGTTTTCACAGTTATAATTTTGTTATTATATATATTGTAACATTTGTATGAAATGCATCAGACTAATAACTAATCCTCACCCTGTTATCAGGAGACATGCTTCTGGGGGGAGTGGGATGTACAGTGTGATGTATGTCTGTGCCGTCACATACAGAGAGCTGCCTTTTTCTTACATTTGAATTATTGTCTTAGGATAAATTCTCAGGAGTGGGACAGAGGTTTAGAATATTTTCTTTATTTTTAAAGTATTTTTAAAATTTATTTATTTTTAGAGGAGAGAGGAGTGGGGAGAAACAGAGGGAGAGAAAACATCAGTATGGTTCCCTCTCATGTGCCCCCTACTGGGGATCTGGCCCACACCCCAAGCATGTACCCTGACTGGGAATCGAACCAGTGACTCTTTGGTTCGCAGGCTGGCACCCACTCCAGTTGAGCCATGCCAGCCAGGCAGGGCAGATTTAGAATATTTTCATTATTTTCAGAATGTTGTATTAAATTGCTTCCCAGAAGGGTTATTACCAGTTTATACTGCCGTCAGCAATGTGCGGAGCAGCCCCTCGAATCATAACCTCTCTAGCAATGAACAGTGCCAGCTAGAGTGTGCTAAATCAATTACTGTGCCAGTTTTCAAAATGTGCATTTCTTTAGTAGCTATAAAGTTGAAGCTTTTCTCTTGTGGGCTTCTACTTGTTGCATTTTGATGAGAAACTGTTTCAGCATTTGGTGCTTGCGCAGGACTCATTGCACTTGGTAGAACTTGTGTGAGTCACACTGCCGCTCTGCAAGAGAACAGGCTTAACTATGTGTCACTTGCTCGGTACTCGTAGCTTTTGGCACTTGTCCTGAGCTCTGGAACAAATTAACGAGTACTGAGATACCACTGTATTTTTAAAATTGTGTGTGGGTAATTCCGAAGAAGCAGCTTTTCATTTAAAAATTGTTGATACACTTTAACAGCATAGACAGGAAAAAGGCCAAGAGGAAATACCCCACTCACTGGAGGTGGCCACGGCCGACAGCTTCCTGGTGCTGTTCCAGAAACTTGCTGTCAGGTGCTGCGCCTCCCCTGGCCTCACTGCCGTGCTCTCCAGGCTCTGAGTCCTGCCACACGGGGGCGCCCTGTGGTCAGTTTCTGGAGCTTGCCTTCCTCTTTGCTGCGGTAGAGTCTTTGCACAGGTCATTCCTCGGCCTGGATTGCTCTTCCCTGCTCTCCTTTTTATACTGTGGGCCTCAGCTTGGCTGTCGTGACTTTAGTCAAGGCTTGCCTGACCATTCGTTCTAAATTGGTTGTTTTCCTTTTCCCTTGCACTTTCTTTCTTTCTGTTTTTGTTTTTTAAAATATATATTTGTTTGTTTATTTTTAGAGAGGGGAAGGGAGGGAGAAAGAGAGAGAGAAACATCAATGTGTGGTAGCCTCTCATGTGGCCACCCACTGGGGACCTGGCTGGCAACCCAGGCCTGTGCCCTGACTGGGAATCAAACCAGCCACCTTTTGCTTCGTGGGACAGTACCCAGCCAACTGAGCCACACTTGTCAGGATTTTTGCACTTCACATCTGAGCCAGACACAAAAGGCCACGTAGTGTGTCCAGAGTGGGTAAACACATAGAGACAGAGTAGGTTAGTTGTTGCCAGGGGCTGGGAGTGGGGTGGGAAATGGGGAACAACTGTAAATGGGTGTCCGTTTTCTTTTTGGGTGATGCAGATGTTCTTCAATTAGAGATATTGTTTACACAGCATGATTATACCCAAAACTACTTAGTTGTGTACTTTAAAATGGTTGAGCCCTGGCCGGGCCACTCGGTTGGTTGTCCTGTGCACCGCAGTGTTGTGGGTTTGATCCCCGGTCGGGGTGCGTGGAGAGGCAGCCTGTTGATGTTTCTCTCTCTCTCGCCCCCTTCCCTTTCCTTTCTCTCTAAAATCAATAAACATATCCTTGGGTGAAGATTTAAAAAATTTAAATGGTTCAAATGGTGAATTTATGTTATATGAATTTTATCCTAGCTTTAAAATATGTAACATACATGGAGGTAATAAAACACGATAATGAAACAGCACTGGGGAAGCCACTACCCCGGTTAAGACCTAGAGCCTTCTCAGCACCGGGTGCTGCCTGCGTGCTGCTCCTGATTCCCATGCCTCCCCTGCGGGGGGGGGGGGGGACCGCCTTCCCAAATCGTACTTCTGTCGTTCCTTTCTCTGAGGGGACAAAGAGTTGTACACACACATTCACATAGTCCTCAAGAATGTACTGAGTAGTTTTGCTTATTTTAGGGGTCACACTCTGTGTGTCTTCTGTAACTTGGTTTAAACTCAACATTAAGTTTCTCAAGATTCAGCCGTGTTATAAACATTTGCACTTTGTTCACCCCCGCCCCACACCCCTAACAGCTGGAGAGGCCAGTTCCAGCCTTAACTTGTTTTTTGTTTTCCTTCAGTTTTTAACATTTGTGGTTAAATACACATAACATAAGCTTTACTCCGGAACCGTTTTCAGACGTACAGTGCATGAGTGTGAAGCACATTCGCGTCGTTGTGTGGCCACCCCACCACGCGTCTCCAGAACTCTCTCATGCGGTGAAACGGGAACGTCACACCCGCGAACAGCAACTCCTCGTTCCTTCTTCCCCTCTGTGCCCGGCAACCCTGTTCCACATTCTGCCTCCATAAATTTGACTACTCTAGGTGCCTTATGTAAGAGAATCATATAGTATTATTTTTTGTAACTAGCTTATTTTATTTAGCATAATGTCCTCTAAATTCATCCATTTTATAGCATCTGTCAGAATTTTCTTCCCCTGTGAGGCTGAATAATACTCCCTGCGTGTGTGCACCGCATGGTGCTTGTCCGTGCACCCACCAAGGGGCACTTGGTTCCTCTGCCTTTCAGCTGTTGGAGTAGAGCTGCTGTGGACGTGGGTGTGCGGACCCGTCTCTCTGAGACTCTGCTGTCGCTTCTTTTGGACGTAGACCCAGAGGTAGCATTGCTGATCGTATTGTGATTAGGTTTTAAAATATCAAGGAACTGCCATGCTGTTTTCCACGGCAGCTGCACCATTTTACATTCCCGTTGGCGTTGTGTCACGTGCTAATTTCTCCACATTCTTGCTAACACTTGTTATTTTCTTTATTTTTTTCTAATAGTGGCCATCCTAATGGATGTGAAGTGGTATCTTATTTGCATTTCCTTAATGGTTAGTGATGTTGAACATTTATGTCATGTGCTTGTTGGCCCTTTGTATATCTTTTTTGAAGAAGATCATTTTTAAAAAAAGATTCTATTTATTTATTTTTTTAGAGAGAGGAGAATGGAAGGAGAAAGAAAGGGAGAGAAACATCAGTGTGTCGTTTCCCCTCATGTACCTGCTGCTGGGGACCTGGCCTGCAACCCAGGCATGTGCCCTTCCTGGGAATCGAACTGGCAACCCTTTGGTTCACAGGCCCATGCTCAGTCCACTGAGCCACACCAGCCAGGGCTGAAGAAGATCATTTTTTAATTGGGTTGTTTGTTTTTGTTGTACTTGAGTGGTCTGTATATTATGAATATTAATCCCTTATCAGATACCTGATTTGCAGATATTTTCTGCTTTATGTGGGTTGCCTTTTCACTTTCTCGGTAGTGTCTTTTGATGCACAGAAGTTTTTACTTTTCATTAATGAAATCTGTGTATTCTTAAAATTTTTTTTACAATTTTATTAAGAAATAATTGACATATGCCACTGTATAAGTTTAAGGTATACCATGTGATGGTTTAATTTCTATATATTGTGAACTGATTACCAATAGGTTTTGTTAACATCCCTCATCTCACACAGATAAAATAAAACAAAAAAGAAAAGAAATTTCTTTTTTTGTGTGATAAAAGCGCTTTCTCTCTCTTTTTAAAGATTTTCTTTATTTATTTTTACAGAGAGGAGAAGGGAGGAAGAAAGAGAGAAACATTGATGTGAGAGAGAAACATCAATCAGTTGCCTCTCACACGCCCACAGCGGGGGACCTGGCCTGCAACCCAGGCATGTGCCCTGACTGGGAATTGAACTGGCCACCTTTCATTTTACAGGGCAGTGCTCAGATCCACTGAGCCACACAAGCCAGTGCATGATCTACTCTCTTAACAACTTATATTTTCTTTAGTTGCCTGTGCTTTGGGTGTCATATATCTAAGAAATCATTGCCAAATCTAATGTCACAAGGCTTTTGTCTTAGATTTTCTTCTAAGAGTTGTGTAGGTTTAGCTTTTACATTTAGGTTTTTGATCCATTTTGAGTTGATTTTTGTATGTGGTGTTAGCTAAGGGTCCCACTTTATTTTTTTTTCATGTGGGTACCCAGTTTTCTCAGCACCATTTATTGAAAAGAGTGTCCTTTTTCTATTGAATGGTCTTGGGATTCTTTTAAAAAAATCATTTGACCATGTAAGTGAGGGTTTATTTCTGGACTCTGTTCTAGTCCATTGGTTTATATGTCTGCATTTATGCCTGTATCACACTATTTTAATTAGTGTAACTTCACAATAAGTTGAAATCTCCAATTTCCTTCTTCTTCAAGATCATTTAGCATTTGGAGTCCTTTGAGATTCCATATAAATTTTAGGATGGATTTTTCTATTTCAGCACAAAACATTGTTGGGATTTCAATAGGGAGTATAGTTGAACATGAGATGTTTTTCCAGCTCTGTACTTTCTTTAATTTCAGCAATGTTTTGTGATTTTGATTGTACAGGTCCTTTATCTCTTTACATTAATTCAAAAGTATTTTAGTATTCTTGATGCCAACATAAACAGAATCATTTCCTTGATTTCCTTTTTTTGGATTGTCCACTCTTAGTGTTAGAGCTGAGCTGAGTTTTGTGTCGTGGTTTCATGTCCTGCTTCTTTGCCAAGTGCGGTTCATTTTTATAGTTGTGTGATATTCCACTGTGGAGTACACCTCGATCTGTTCGTTTTCTGTTGATAGGTATGTGGATGGTTTACAGCTTCTTGGTACACAGGAATCAGTATTTCCACGGTCATCAGTGTGTCTCCTTGTCCATTTGCTGAGGAGTCCTAGGAGCTCCAGTGAAGCTCCTGTGAGTGAAGTGCTGGGTTGGAGGGTGGGTATATGTATTCCAGCGGGTGTTTTCCAAAGCAGCTGTAACCAGTGACCCTCCGCCACAGCAGCAGGGCGCAGTTCCACAGCCTGGCAAAGTGTGGCGTTGTCCACCTAAAAGGGTTTGCCTGTTTGGAGGATGTGAAGTAGTGTATCGCTGAGGTTCCATTTTGCATTTTCCTGCTTACCACTGAGAGTGAGGATCTTTTCATGTGTTCATGGACCAGTTTTACTTTTTTCTCTGAAATGTACGTGGTGTTTTTACCCATTTTTGTTCTTTCTGATTTTTAGGGATTTGCAGTACATTCTGTATCTGTAGTCTTTATCGGTTAAGTGTTGCACACATCCTACATTGTGGTTTGTCTTTTTTTGTCCATCCATTTGAGTTTTTAATTTTAACTATTTTTTTTCATTTCTAATTGTTGCCTTTCCAAATTTACCTGGCCGCGTTATTCTTGGCCATCTCTTATTCCTTGAACATTGCACACAGTTATTTTTTATTGTCTGTATCATAATTCCAGTGTCGGAAGCCTGGAGGGTATTCTGTTGACTCCCACTCATAGTGGCATCTTTCCTGACAAGTTTAGTTAGTGCTTTTTATTGTGATCTCATATTTCATTGAGCTTAATGTGTGGAGACTCTGAGGGCCTGCTTCGGAGATGCTTCCCTGCAGAGAGGATTTGGGTTTGCCTTTGCTGCTGCCGGCCTGGCTGCCCTGAGCCCCGCCAGGGAGCCCTCGGGAGCCAGGGGCAGGGGTGCTTTAGCGTCGTGCCTCGGCGCTGCCAGGGACGGCCCTCCCTCACTGCCAGCGGTGACACTGTCCTTCGGGCAAGCCCTGTCTTTTCCTGTTTCCTGTGCACCACCCCGTTCGCCTGTTTCCATTTACCGTGTTCAAGGGGTGGGGTGGAGGGTTTGGTTGGGATGGGCTCAGATTTCATTTATTTTCCAGCAAGCTCAACAGTGCATTAGAACGTTCTTATGGTAATGTATGCAATGTCTAATAGGTTCATGGTACGGTGGGATTTCATCTTGAGAAGTTTTCTAACTTTAATTAGACCTAGAAAATTTCAAGGGTCTTAAAACCATTACCAGCATTGCCTGTCTCCTCCTCTGAGGGAACACGGGGTCGGAGTTGCACGGCTGCCGAGAGACAGATGAGGAATTCTGATGTTTGTAAAGTGCTCAAGTGTATTTGGTACCTAGCGAGTCTTTGTAAGTGTTAAGGGAATAAGAAATTAAAAGTCGATGTTTTCCCTTCCCTTAGGTCTGGGTCATTACAATATCACCAGTGCGCCCACCAAGCTGGGGGGAGACCTCGCCAGCGTGAACATCGTCCAGGTGGCCACCTACGGGGATTGCTGCCTGGCTGTGTCAGCTGATGGAGACCTCTTCGGCTGGGGCAACTCTGAGTACCTGCAGCTGGCTTCTGTCACGGACTCCACACAGGTATGAGGTTGCATAAGCCTGCAGCTCACTGAAGACACCTGTGCGACCCCACCCAGGCCAGGCGGTAGGCCGCCAGCAGCCTTCGGGAGCCCTGCCTGTGGCCCCCCCTCACCGCTAGCCCGGCCTCCTCATCAAAGCAGGCCACCACTTATACAATATAGCAGAACCTTAGATGTTTTATTAAGTAAATATAAAGAAAAAGTAAAGCTCACTACATAATTAATCTCTATACCCATCACCCATATTCAACAATTACCAACTAATGGCCCATTTAAAAAAATAGAGATATAATCATGATTGTTAAGTATATAATTTGGTGGGTTTTGGTAGTTACCAGGATGTGCAACCACAACCACTGTCTGGTCCCAGACATTTTCATTAACCTCCCTTCCTTACCCCAAACGCCCATGCTTCCTGACGGCAGTTTTGTTGCATATATAATTTTGTCTACTTCTCTGCTCTGGATGATTTTGAAGCAAATCCTACATATCATATTTCATCTATAGAAGTTTCAGTAGTATCTCTAAAAGCTAAGGACTAGTTTAAAAAACATACTTTGGGGTTAGCCAGAAAGTTCACTTAGTTGTGCTTAGTCTAAGTCTTTAACTTTATCCAAAACAATTTCATTAGACTGTATTGTGCAGCTGTTGTATCAGTACATTAAAAAAAACTTATCAAAACTCATGAACTTTTGTGCAGCCATTTTAATACTGAAGATGGAAGAAGATACACAACATTTTCAGTGTATCATGCTTTATTATTTCAAGAAATACACAAATGCAACTGAAATGCAGAAAAGGATTTGTGCAGTGTATGGGGGAGATACTGTGACAGCTCAAATGTGTCAAAGGTGGTTTGCGAAGTTTCTTGGTACTAGTGACACTTTAGCCCAGTGATTCTCTGCCGAGGGGCTGTCTGATGCACTGGAAGGTGTTCAGCAGCACCCCTGGCCTCTGCCCACTGGAAGCCAGTAGTGGGAGAGAGCCGACATGCTCAGCATATTCAAATCCATAAAGTTACTGGTGAAAATGAAAAAAATGTGTCTTTTACAGAAAAAGCTAAATGGACTTTTTGGCCAACCCGGTACATTCCTTAATATCATCAGACTTCTGAAAAATACAGAAGGATTTTGATACATATTAATGATAAAGAAACTGGCACAAAGGGAAACTGCAGATCAGCTCATAAGATGAAAAAATGCAATTCTCTGTGGCCTGGCACAGTGGCTAGAAGTGGTTGTGGATTTGGCTCTGAGCTTCCAAGTAGCCAAAGCAAGGAAGAAAACATGGTCATTTAAATGATTCATCGTTTCTGTAAGACAAACACACATGAAGTGGTCAGGAGAAGTACTGTTCTTCCTACTGCCAAGGCCTTAGAACAGGTCTCCTGTGTCAGGCCTTCCTCTGCAGAACAGGCCCAGTGTCGGGTCACTGCGTAACAAATGGCCCCTAAACTCAGTGACTTAAAACAACATTTTTAAAAAAGATTTCATTTATTTTTAGAGAGAGTGGGAGGGAGGGAAAAAGAGGAAGAGGAACATCGATGTGAGAGAGAAACATCGATTAGTAGCTTCTCGTATGCCCCCTGACTGGGGACTGAACCCGCAACCAGCGACCCTTTGCTTTGCAGCGCAATGCCCAACCAACTGAGCCACATCAGTCAGGGCAAGACAACATTTTTATCCCATCGTTTCTGTGGGTCAGTAATCTTGGGGTGGCTTAGCTGGGTCTTCTGGCTCTGTGTGTCTCAAAGACTACAGTCAGCTTAGGGTTCAGCGGGGGAAGGCTGGTTTTAGGGCCACACTGGTGGTGGTTGGCAGGATGCAGGTCCTTGTGGTCTGTTGCACTGGGGCCCCAGTTCCTCGCTGGCAGTGGGCCAGCTGATAGTTGTTGGCCTGGCCTTCCGTGGTTCCCTGCCAGGTGGGCTTCTCCACATGGTAGCTCACAACACGGCATCTGGCTTCATGAGAGTGAGCAAATGAGAAGGGAGAGAGAGTGCCAGTGAGACAGAAGCCTGTGTTTTGTAATTTCATCTTGGCACTGACTTTCCCTCACTTGGCTGGTATTCTGCTCATCATAAGCAAGTTACTTAGATCCAGCCCCCGAATAGAGTAGGTTTGCATGTGGGTTTGAATAGGAGGGGACAGGGGTTTTAGGGGGTCATCTTAGAAGGCTCCCATTGCAACTGGGATTCCGTACTGCGGCCTCGGCCTCATCCTGTCACTAACGACAGTGGTATGTGTCCAGTGGGTCTTTGCTGGAGTCGTTCTCAGCACTTGGTGGGACCTTGTGCCAGAGCAGAGCAGGCTAAAGAAGCTCTGTGCTCTCTGCCCCGGGCACCCAGCAGCAGAGGCCGAGCCCCAGCCCTGATGGCCCTTCTTTATCTAGGCACACATTTTCTGGGTTGGTAAGCCCCTTTACTCGTCCTCAGTCAGTTTAGGGACTGTTATCTTTCATCTGTCTCCATTTGGAAGTGACTCTCTGAAGATTCATGGCTATCACCGAAGCACTTAAAATCTATCTTTTCAGAGTTATTCCTCAGTAGAAGTGCCAAGACCGAATCCTGCTGGAAAGCTGAGTTGGCCACGTTTCACTCTCCACACCCCTGATCTTCCCATCTCTCACTCGAAGCAGATCTGGCCTCCTGTTCAATGGAGAAAACAGATGCTGTCGGATGAGAATGCTCTCAGTGTCCCACTGTGACTCCTGTGTTCTTACCGGGGCCTGTTCCTTTCTCCGGCAGTGGAGGGTTGTCTCTTTCTGTGGATCCCACCTTCTTCCACCTTCTCAGAAGCCATACTCCATCTGCTGGGCCTCCTTTCCCGTAACTTCAGTCTGTCCTTCTCTCCATCAGGCTATACCTGACTCGTGCCTTCCCTCTTACAAAGCCCACTGTGGGCTCCTCATCTCCTTCTGTCCTCCCACCCCTTTGCTTTATTACCTCCTGCTTCCCTTCTGGGACAAGCCTCTCAGGAGCTGCATTTGCTACTCTGTTTCCTCATCTGCTCCTTCCGCAGTCCCTGCTACTTAGTTTATACCCTTACCAGTTTGCTGGGTAGCTCTTGAAAGAGTTACCAGTGACATTCATGTTGCTAAAAATAATAATAAAAAACCTGGAGAATATTTGTCACCCTCTGTCTTTCTCGACCTCTCAGCAGCATTTGACATCTTCGTGAAAGCCACGCTTCCCTGTGCCCCTGTGACTAGACTCTTAGTGCTCTTCTGTCTTTCTCGTTCCTTCTCGATTTTCTTTACTGGGTCTCCTCTTGTGCCAGGTCTCTAAGTGCTGAGGACCTCGTGGCACAGACTGTGCTGTTCTTTTCTTCCTGTTCCCCCTTTGGAAGGTCTTATCCACACGCGTGTCTGCAGTTACCGTGTATATGCTGATGGTGCCCCAGCTTGCATATCAGGGTCCCAGACATCACCAAGTAGCACTTGGCGTGTCCACTTGGTCATCTCTAGGCCTTGTGAGTTCGGTACGTCTGAAAGTGAGCTCGTGCTCACTCCCACGCTCCGGCCCTTCTCTACCGTCACATCCAAAATTTCACAGCATCCTGCATGATCTGGCCACCCTCTCCCCTCCAGAGTCCTATACTGAGTGCTCCTTGTCCCCCTGCTTTAGCCTCTCTTACCTTGGGTTTTAAAAAATTATTTTTAGATAGAGGGAAGGGGGAGAGAAAGAGAGGGAGAAAAACATCGATGTGCAAGAGAAACATTGATAAGTTACCTCTTGCGTGCCCCAACCAGGGAAATGGCCCTCAACCTAGGCATGTGCCCTGACCAGGAATTGAACCAGTGACCTTTTGGTTTGCAGGATGATGCCCAACCCGTGGAGTCATGCCAGCTGGGGCCGCCGTCACCTTGTGTAACTTCCCTGAATGTGCCACGCTCACCTCGCTCCCCTTGCACATTCCATCTCCTCTGCTTGGCACGTCCTGCTCTAGTTGGTTCTGCCCTTCCTTCAGGCCGCAGGGGAAGGTGAATCCTTCCCCGACTGCTCTTTCCCTCAAACCAGGTCTGTCTCCCTGACACTCATGCTCAGAGACCCTATAGTTTCCTTGCTTACATTCAGCACAGATGCATTTTATGTTATTTTGGGCTGTCATCTGCCTCCTCCACTAGACTAAGTGGGGGACCAGGTCTCTTGCTCCTCCTCTTATTCCCAACATCCGGTTAGAAGGTTAGCATATGTTCAGTGTTTGGGAAATGTTGGTGGTGTGAATGGATGAACTCTGTGCACAAGAACAGATTATTTCCAGGTTCTCACTGGTTTGTCTTCCTAACAGTGTGGATCCTTCCTTTGATTCAGGTGAACATTCCCCGGTGCCTGCCCTTCCCAGGAGTGGGCCAGGTGAAGCAGGCTGCATGTGGCGGGACAGGCTGTGCTGTGCTAAATGGTGAGACCTGCCTGCAGACTCACTGGGCAGCTCTAGGTGGGCTGGGTAGGGAAGGGTTGGTGTCCAGTGGATTCAGAGGCAGCAGACCTCAGCCTGAGGAAGGGCGTGTGGCTGGGGGAAGGTCCCCTAGACGGCGTTCAGGTAATAGAGGGTAAGATGACATTCGTGCCAGAGAGATGAGAGCTGTGATTCATACGTGGACAGCACAGAGCTTAGCGGCTCTGTAGCAGACCTCTGATACAGAGAGTTAGCCACTTCCTCCCTGCCTCTTGGCTGCGGCCAAAGACCACGGTGCTGCCTTCTCCAGAGAGGCCATGCCAAGAAGCAAAAGGCAGATGGGGAAAGGCCCTCAGGCTTAGGTACTGAGAGCCATGGCTCTGGGGTTAAACATCTGGTACCAGTGATGAGTATTAAACTTTTTATAGGCAAGAATCATCTCTAAGAATTTTAAGCATCTGGCCAAAAGTTGTTTAGTACTTGGCTTCGTCTTCTGATCAGCGGGAAACACAGAGCCCTTACGAGACACTGTCCTTCGGAGGCGCTCCCGCGCTCCCCCGGGGCTTGGGGTGCTTCAGGGGTGGGTCCTGTCTGGCCCCTCAAGATGTGGGAAGTCTGTACTCTGAGGCTGGCGAGCTGGCTAGACATACTCCACAAGCAAGAATTCGAAAGAGGAGAAAAGAAACATTATTTTCAATATCTGTCAGCATGTTCTCTCCAAGCAAGGAGGAAAAAATATGCCTGTGGATATAATGTATCTTGGTGGTGCCTTTGAATTTCTAGTGGAGGGCGGCTCTTGCTTTGACTTACTGACCGTTGTTTTTCCTGTAATGCAGGAGAAGGACATGTTTTTGTCTGGGGCTATGGAATTCTTGGGAAAGGACCAAACCTAGTGGAAACCGCTCTTCCAGAAATGATTCCACCCACTCTCTTTGGCTTGACGGAGTTCAACCCAGACGTCCAGGTTTCCCGCATACGATGTGGACTCAGCCACTTTGCTGCCCTTACCAGTAAGTGAGCAAGCCACGAGGCCCCCGGGGCGGACAGAGCTTTGCTGTCTCAGGTTCAGCCCCAGACTGTGGGCAGCCCTCAGTTCCCATTCATTTAGTGGAGTGGTACCCTCGTGTGGATAATTAAAGAGAGCAGCTAATCCAGAAGTTGTTTGGCTTGAGGTTGTATAATATGTGTCTCTTTTCTTCATCCTGGAGTTTTGTTTTGGTTCATTTGGTTTGTGGTCAGGCTAATGTGAAAGTAAATTTTCTCAAGAAGATACCAGTTGGTGGCAGGAGAGGGGACCCCTGAGTATGTTGGGGTGCTGGGCGAAACCAGCAGAGGTTTGGCAAAGCCACAGTGGGAATTGGGAAATAAATGTGTGGGGCTTAATTCCACTGCCTGGCCAGGCCCAAACCCCGATCTGACCCAGGAACGCAGAGTGGCAAGGGGCAGACTTGCAAGATCCTGGGTTTTCTGACAGTAAGTCTGCCTGAATCTCCCAAGTGCCGGGGGGGAGAACGATCGGAGGGAAGGCAGAAATGGAGGTTTTCTCAAAGGTTTGCCAAATGACACAGCGGTGACATGCCCGGTTACTCTGCAGGCCTCTGGGATGTGTTTTTCTTGATTGCGTCTCCTGCTCTGCTGCCGTGGCTGTTGGCTCAGTTTGTTCCTCTTCAGTGGACTTGAGTCATCAGACTGTATTAATTTAATTTAATTTAATTTTGTGATTCTCAAGCAAATTCACTATTTCCTTGCAGTTAAAAAATCTTTTTGTCTCATGGTAAGTAATTGTTTCCTTTTAAACATCTGGGCTAGGACATTCAGCTCGGGTCCCCCTGGTTTGTGTTCCCTGGCCCTGTGCTAACGTGAGGGCCGCTCCAGATGAGTGCCATTCAATGTTCTCCGAATCCGGGCCCAGAGCCTGGCGGCACACGGGCTGCAGTGCGGGCTGCCGTGCGGTGGGCGGGCCTCGTGCTGGACATGTGCGTTGCAGTACCAAGCGGCAGCAGCGCCTACTGGGGTGGAGAACCCCTCATCACACTCAAGCAGAGCCAGCCACTTCTGTTTGCAAATGAGCCTAGTTCACGTGAGTTTTTCAAAGCTACTTCAACTTAGTAAGTAGGAGTCATTGTGGACTAATTCTGCAGGTGTCACTGGTCTCTTCTCCAGACTTTTCTAACCAGGGGTGTGCAACCCGTGGCTCAAGGGCCTTGTGCAGCCCATGGTGACTATGAAGGTGGCCCAACACAAAATCGTAAATTTACTTAAAACATTATGAGATTTTTGCCCTGGCTGGGGTGGCTCAGTGGATTGAGCGTGGGCCTGCGAACCAAAGGATTGCAGTTCGATTCCCAGTCAGGGCACATGCCTGGGTTTTGGGCCAGTTCCCAGCAGGGGAGGCATGAGAGGCAACCATACATTGATGTTTCTCTCCCTCTCTCCTTCCCTTCCCCTCTAAAGATAAATAAAAATAAAATCTTAATTAAAAAAGACACATAGTGAGATTCTCTGTGATTGTGTGCCACAGTGTATTTAACATGCAGCCCTGGACAACTCTCTTCTTCCAGTGCAGCCCAGACACACCGACAGGTGGGACACCCCTGAGACTGTGTGCAGGGTCACCTACCTGCACACCCATCCACAGGAAGTCGTCCACCAGGCCAGACTGTTTGCTGTCGTGCCATGTGGCCGTTTTGGGTCACACTGAAATGAGATCCTTACATAGCAGCGATTTTCAACCAGTGTGCCGCAGGACTTTTTAAAACATAAAATACCTGATTCTTTTTTTTTTTTTTAATTTTTTTTTTTTACAAATTTTATTTATCTTTAGAGGGGAAGGGAAGGAGAGAGGGAGAGAAACATCAATGTATGGTTGCCTTTCGTGCGTCCCCTGCTGGGAGCTGGCCTGCAGGGAACCGGCCTGCAACCCAGGTATGTGCCCTGACTGGGAATCGAACCTCGATTGTCTGGTTCGCAGGCCCGAGCTCAATCCACTGAGCTACACCAGCCAGGGCACCTGATTCTTATTTTCTAAAAGATTTTATTTATTTATTTTCAGAGAGGGGGAGGGAGAAAGAGTGGGAGAGAAACATCAACATCTGTCTGTCTCTCGAGTGCCCCTACTGGGGACCTGGCCCACAACCCAGGCATGTGCCCTGACTGGGAGTCAAACTGGAGACCCCTTGGTTCGCAGGCCAGTGCTCAATCCACAGAGCCACACCAGCCAGGGCAGAGATCCTGATTGTTTAGTCAGGAGCACTGATCTCCTTCCCCTTAGACTGTCAAATAAAAAAATGACAGCAGCCAGCACAACAATAGCCATCTGGTGTGAATGCCCTGTCTTGAACCATAAATATATAGATCATATAATCGAGTTGCATCTTATTGGTCACACTGCATAAGTTTGCATCTGATTGGTTAATTCTTGGTACCAGAAATCCTTATGTATAAGTATAGGCACCTGATATTTTAAAAAGTCACTTTGGAACAAAAATGGTAGGTAATTACTATTATTATTACTATTTTTTGTAAGTAAAAATTATACCTATTCTTTTGTCATATTGGCAAATATGTATTTTTGATGTACCACAAATTTTAGTAGTTAGTGTGTGTGTACCATGAGATGAAAAAGGTTGAAAATCGCTGCTCTGTAGCTTTCCCCCGAGATGCAACAGCCCCCCTCGGAGAGCCGGTGATGTCCCTCAGTGGGGGGAGCATCAGAGCGTGGGTTGCTCCATCTCTGTGCCCAGCGTCTGCGTAGGGCCAGCTGGGAGTTGGAGTTGGTTGGTTTGCCCTGAAATCTGCAAATATTTTGGGGGCCAGGCTGAATTGTTCCATTAAACACATAAAATCTGAGGGTAGAGGACCAAGGTGATGGCCAGACCAGACGGGCTCTGAAATCTTGTGACAGAAGGACTCCTTATTTAATCAGCCCAGATTATTGTAGTCCTGGCTTTTCCATGGCTTTCCTCCTCCTGCTCGCCACATGTGGGTGGCTGAATGGGCCTCCGCTCCAAGGAGCGCCCGCAGCTGTCGGGGGTGGAGGTGGGGACGGAAGGCTGGGCTGTGGGAAGCTGCCCTGCCAGGTCTGGGTCCCTTCCCGCAGGTGGCACTCCCAGAGCCCAGGCCTAGATGCCTTCTCTGGGCTGTCCTCTGTAGCTCCCTCTCCTTTTCCTTCTCGGCACTTCTTACGTGTGTAAGCGTGTACGTATTGGTTGGATTATTTGTTTATTTCTGGCTGTTCGACTGGTCTCCTGAGGACAGGAACCGTAATGCTTCAGTCATCAGACATAGGCCTGGCCCAAAGAGGTCCCAGTCACCATGCGTCACTTGACTGAATACTCTGGAGAAATGGAAGCCCAGGCATGGAATGCCAATCATCCTAGTTTGAAGATGCTCGGACTTCTGGATTTTTGGAGGGCGGGGTTTGGTTCGACATAGCTGTGGGCGAGGGGCATGTGCCTCGGGGGTGAGCAGAGTGGGCTGTGAGCAGGAGCCGCCTGGGCCCACTGCTCTGCGCGTGGATTCATCTCCCATGTGATGGACACAGTGTCAGTCTGGGCTTGGGCGTGTTTTCAGTAATGGGGGCTGTCTGCTATTCTCTTCAAAAGAAAGCATTACTCTCTGGTAGAAGCTGAAGTTGATCATCGGGTTCTGTTTGTACCAGGTTCTGGAAAGCCTGTTCTCATGACTCTTCTTGGAGACTTGCCCTTGGTCCATTCCCAACCAAGCCACTGTTTTTCTTTCTTTGCAGACAAAGGAGAGCTGTTTGTATGGGGTAAGAACATTCGAGGGTGCCTGGGAATCGGCCGCCTGGAAGACCAGTATTTCCCGTGGAGGGTAAGACTGGACTGGGTGGACTGGAGGGCAGGTCCACAGGGTGGATTCAGCTGGTGTGACAGTAGTGTCCCCTGTGCAGCTGGGCCAGTGCTGGGTCCATGGCTGGGTCCTGCCCCCACTTCTGGGTCATGGCTGCCTTCCTCCTCCCGCTTTGGGGCATCAGGAGAGGCCCCCCCAGGTGACAGCCAGTCCTCTCCTTCCTGGGGCCTGTTGATGAGCAGTGGGAGGGAATGAATAGCCTGTGCGGGGTTCCAGCCCCTGGTGCCCTAGAAGCAGCCTCATCGCAGGCTGCCTTAGGGATGTGGAGCAGGGAGACAGAGGCAGCCTCCGGGACAGCAGGCTGCAGACCCCGACAGGGAGAGGTTTGAAATGGAGAGGCTGGCGTGCCAGGGGCTGTTTGCTGAGGCCATGCGGAGGAATGTTTACAGCGAGTTGAAAAGAAAGCAGGATGTTTAATATTTAGAATGCCTTACCACAGCCACCAAAGTGAAAAAGCAAAGGTCTCCCTTAGGGGGAGGATGCAGTCAGACAACAAGGCTCATTTCAAAATTAAAAAGGAACTTCTTCAATTGTAGTTTATCTCAGTGTTGTTTACTAAGTTTTTTAAGTTCTAAAAAAAAGCTGTTTTTTTGAACATAGAACACATGGCCTGGCTTCAAAGTGTATTATGAAGAAAAGGGTCCCACGTCTTGTCCCGGAGGCGGCCACCAGCAGTGGGGCCTGATGTCCCCTCAAGAGACGGCCTCTGCTTGCAGAAGTGTGTGTGCGTGTGTGTGAGCGTGTGTGTGCCTAAGCATTTTTTAAAGTTTGATTTTAATAATGTGTTTTGAAATTGTGCGAAGTATCTTTTAGAAACACATGTAAAAATGCAAAAGATATGTATAATTTAAATAAAACAAGGATTTGTCTGTCCAAAACCCACTGCAGGATGTTTCGGGGCCTCTTTGGTATTTTAGGAGCTTGTTTCCACTGGCCTTTCCCTCGGCTGCTAACTTTCCTGGGTCCTCGTGAACTTGGCAGGCCCTGCCTCCTTTATAAACACAGTAGGTGCAGTTTCTAAGAGAACAAGTCAAAATGGAGACTTTAAACTTGTTAGGAAAAAAATGATCATGCACCAGAGCTGTTCCCAAGCTGGTTGGTGCTCACTGGCGTGTTCCCTGGAAATACAATGACATAGGAGGAGTGGAGAACCAACTGGTGGACAGTGGGTGGTATCACAGGCAATATGAATGTCCATGACGTAAATTTAGACTTGTTTTCTTGGTAGTTCCTCACTGCCCTCTCCTGAACCAGCCCCTAGCCCCCGAGTACGCACGCATGCACACACATGCACGCGCACACACACACACACATCTTTCTGAGGGAAAGCTTAGGGAATAATAAAGCACCTGGGTTTGGACGAATGGCTGCTATGGCTAGGGGCTCCCCACCTGCCTTCATTTCCTCCAGAAGGTAGTGAGGATACAGGACAGCATGAAATAAGATTTGAAATCTGACAGCATTTCCTTATTGGAATGGCTGAGCCACCCCTGGGCCCTGTCTTGAAGCTGGGTGCAGCTGGCTGCTGAGGCTGACACTGCGCGCCATTCAGACCAGCCCCTTCCCTGACTCCGTGCTCACCCAGCCTCCCTCTGGGAGTGGCATCCTCTGCCTCTGCCGTCAGGGAAGGGGCCTTGGCTGCTTTCTGCCAAGTTGTTGTCCTCCCTCTTGTACTTTTGTTGAGCCTTCACTGTTTGTGAAGCTACCTTGTTTCCTGTCAGCTTTTGATTGGGGTTGGGGGTGGGAGAAGGAGAGGGCTCGGAAAGGAGGTGCTGAGGCCCTGGGACGGGTGGCGGCAGGAGCCAGGTCTTGGGTCAGCCAGGCTGGATCCCTTAAAGATGCGATTGGCCCGTTGTTGAGTAGCTGGACCTTGCTCCTATCTCTTCTGTTATACTCACTTAAAAACATTTCAGGAAGTTTTTAATCTTTAGAAAACTGTGTTTTGTTATTGATCTTCAGTAGGGGCTATGTTGCATCATTTTAAAAGTATTTCAAGAAAGAAAAAGAGTGAAGTCTCATTTGTGGCTCCTACAAAGGTACTAGTTATTCTGGGACTCACAGAGCCTGCCCTTTTCTCTCGGTGTCCTTCTGGAAGCTTTTCAGGATGTTTTGCTGCTACACACTGATACTCAGAGATCAAAAGATTCAGTGATTTCTTCAAGGTCACACATCCCGTAAGCGGAGGTGAGGTTCAGACTCAGATGTGTGGCTGGGAGACACTGGTCTCCTCACGGCAATCCCTGTCCCCTGTGAGGGCCTCAGCTGCAGGGTCCCCAGTGGACGGAGGAAGGACGTGTGTAGAGGCGGACGCACTGCGCCGGTGCCCTCTGGCCTTCGCGGGACCCTCTGACCTAAAAGGCAGCTGGGGCAGTGTTTGCATGGGCCTCACCTTTCAGCCCTGGGAAGAGCGCGCGCTCTCCCCAGTCAGTGCAGCCTTTCTGAGGGGCCGGCGGACTGGCAGTGCACCAGATGCTCTGCTTTGGTTCTCTCATCCTCAGAATGATCTGTGACGTCAGGCTCCTCCCCCACAGTGCGCACCTGCGGACGCTGACTTTAGGAGTCAGAGGGCCTGGCCCCATCTCCCAGGCACTGCAGGTGGGGCTGTGGTGTGAATTTGGGAACCTCATCATGAGCCCCTCCGGTCAGTCCCAGGTCGGGTTTGGGAGCACCAGCTGGGAAACCCGCTGACCTCCAGGCATCTTTCTTGTGTGACCTCCTCAGCAGCCACAGGCCTCGGTGGTTCCGATGGCCCGTGAGGGAGGTGGGCACGCGTCCCTGCGGGCGGGCGAGCTCGCTGCCTTTCTCAGCCTGCTCATTCGGGGCCGGGAAGGAAATTTCAGACCCAGAGTGTCAGGGAAGCCGTGGGTTGGCTGGGCGCTGCCTCTCACCTTCCTCTGCCCTTCACCTGGTGTGTGCCCATTTCAGGAGCGTGTCAGTGTGCAGAGAGGTGTTCCTCAACTGAGTCTGCTTACACTTTCAAGTCACTCAGGCTCAATGTGCTTTTGGGTTTTAGAACTGTTGCCCTTTGCAATAATGTGAGTGTAAGTTGGTTTAGAATAGAAACTGCTGTTAATCTTGATGAGGACAAAAACACTGTGTGGCTGAAGGCATTCTTCGTCTGCACTCAGTTCAGAGGCTGCGAGCGCCTGCTCCACAGGCGAGCCTCCTGCTGCCCACAGGGGCAGGGCCTCAGGGGCCAGGCCCGCGCGGCCCACCCTCCTCAGCCAAGACCACTGTCCTGGTGAGTAAACCAAGGCCAAGTGGTCTACTCTGCTTTGGGCACTAATGGCAGAGCACGTGGGGAACGAGGACAGATGTGCGTAAGTGCCGCAGCTCGGCCGCAGATCACTGAGCAGAGGGCGCTTCCCCGGCAGCGGTGGAGGAATCGTGCTCTGATGGCCTGGGGAGGTTGCTAAGAGTTCACCTGCACCCCGTCAGCACGGAGGCAGCATGTGTCCCCGTGTCCCTGGCCAGCCTGGACGCTCTCTGCATCCACGAGCCTTTGCGATGAACCGGGGCACTGCTTCTTGTTTGTTTAGTGATTTCTCTAATAGGTTTTGCTAAAGACGTTTGTTTAGGGAGGGGGTGGTGGGAAGCCCGACTTGGTTTCTAGCGTTCATTTGTTTGTGGCCAGGAGTCCTTCATGGACTCATCTCCCACGCCAGAGGCGCCAAGCTCCAGGGCCAGCCCTGCCGCCTCTGGGCTTTGAGGCCAGGCCATCTGGATGAGGCTTTTCCCCTCTTAACTCAGTACACTCCACGGGCTGTCACAGATCCCCTTTCCAGCTGTCACACTGTTCAGCCGGGCACTGCCTCCAGGGCAGGGCGGCAGGACTAGGGTCTGGTCAGAAGAGCAGCCTGCGTCCTGGCCGAGCCACCGGAGTGGGCGCGCTGTCTGAGAGTCTGCCTCCAAGGAGCCAGCGTGCGTAGCATTCGCGCCTGGTCCCACCGAGAGCCTCTGGAAGGACAACGAGAAACCAGTGAAAAGTAGTTTCCATGTCAGAGGGGAGGTGGGGCTGGGGCCCCGGGTGACGGGCACAGTGAGGCATCTTTAATGCCTTTTTATCCTTTTTCATTGCATGTTGTTTTGTATTGCAGGCATGTGAATATATTGTCTTTTCAAAACAACAATAATAGTAAAAAATAAGACAAAGAAAAATGTCCCTTTTCTGGAGAACTGGCTTGGGCACACCCATTTCCAAGGCCAGGCTGTAGAACAGTGAGTCGTTTTAAAGGCAGACAGGCTGGAGCCCCCTGACCCGGGAGACTGCCCGCTGCCATCGTGGGAGTGGGGCCTTCCTGTGGCGAAATGTCCGCGTGGATGGGTGCAGTTGGCAGGACCGCTGGCCGGGCCTTGGGCACCTTCTGAGGCACAGTGAACACCCCTCCCAGAGGGTACATGTGACGCGTGTGCCTGTGTCTGGAACTGGTGGGCAAAGCAGGGAAAGACCCTGGGCCCAGGGCAGGCCTCGTTCCCAAAGCAGACCCTGAAAGCGGGAGAAAGGGTTTCCAAAGCCATTCTCGTGGGCCGTGGTGCTGACCACTAGGAAAGGTCACTGAACCTCTGGCGGGGTCACGCTCAGGGGGCTCTGACCGTGTGGGGTGTGCGCTCAGGCTCCGTGCTCGTGCCCCGATCGGCCCCTTGGAGGGGTGGGCGTGAGCAGTACCGTCTGCTGTTGACGAGGAGGGGAGTCGGGAGGGCCCTTTCCGTGGGGGTTGCGTTGACTCGTCCCAGCAGACTTGCTGGGTAGGTCGTAAGTGTCCCCACTGCCAGGGGAGGGAGCCAGGGCAGAGCCAGGATCGGGCCCGGTGGGGCCACCTCTCAGCCTGCCTCCCTCCCTGCTGGTCGGCTCCCCCTCACCCTGTGCTGGGTCTTGTTTTTCAGGTGACGATGCCCGGGGAGCCCGTGGATGTGGCGTGTGGTGTGGATCACATGGTGACTCTGGCCAAGTCCTTCGTCTGAATCTCCCACCTGGCCCGCTTGAGCCTGGCCCTGCCTCAGAACCCCTCGGACTACGAAGCAGAGGCAACCAGTGGGGTTTGATGGGGCGCAGAACAGGTCAGTGCCCTTCGAGAAGTGTGGCACTCTCTCCGACAGCCCCTAGGAGCTACGTACTGGGAGCCCGGGCCGTGGTCCCTGTCGGAGGAGAGCCCTGCTGAATTCACATACAACGGCTGCCTTTACCAGGCTGATGTACGGGAGGTCGAGTCCCAGGGCCGTGTGGCCCCAGCAGGGCAAGGATGATTAGAATGTCTCAGCTCTTTCCAGGGAACATAGGATGGTTTCTGGTGTCACTTCTGGCCCAAGATACTGGTCTTAGGCAATCTTAGCTCCCGTGGCACGCCATTGTGTTTGATCTCTAAAGGAGGCCCGACGGAGCGCAGTGCTCGGGAGGGCTGCTGGGGCCCTGGCATCGCAGCGGAGGGCGCCCCGCCTGGCTGAGGGAGCCGGCCTGGCTTTGGCCCGGGGTTTTCATCCAGGTCCCCCTTCCACGCAGCCATTTCCGGTCAGCTGCCCACAGCCAACCCGCTGCTGGGACACATGCCGAAATCCTTTCCTTGGACAGGGATTCCCCCCCGAAAATACCGGTGGGCGCCAGCTTGGTACCACATGGGCTCACAGCTGTCACCACCCTCGTAACTGTTCTTGGTGCCTGGCCTGGAAGTGGGGAGGAGCCCCCACAGGAAGGAGGTCAAGGCCAGACCCTCGTGGGCTGAGGGCTCTGAACACATCCTGCAAAAGCTGGGCTGGAGTGCCGGCCGTGGAAAAGACAGAGTTGAAATTGCGGGGAGCATCTGAGTTACTGTAACCTGTCTTACTCTTTCAAAAAATATTTTAAGAATTGTTTTGGAATTAAAGTCTATTTTCTGCCTTTTTATTTTTAAGAACTATGGAGGTTCTTTTATTTTACCTGACCATTTATAGAGGTTAGCTTCCCAAAACAAGGCTTTTGATAAAGAGTCTGTTAGAACGCCACAAGAAACAGTCCTGCTGGAAAACTGGTTCCTGAACAGCCTGCTCCCACGCACAGTTCAGCTGGAAGGAAACAGGCATAAAAATAACTGGTGACCGTGTCACAAACTGGGGGCTCGCTCGCGGCCTGCCCGCTGGGGGGGACCAGTTCTTTTGTTCATTACAGCAGAGTCTTTCTATAAGCTTGAAATAGAAGTTCAAAACAATTTGTCATTTTCCTTCCTGAAACTCCCGGACGGGCCGAGGACCCCATTGTCCTGGTGGTGGAGAGCAGGGACCGGTGCTTGGTGAACACACGCCATGTGCACACCCCGATCTGTGGAGGCCGGGCAGCCCCGAATGTCGGGGACAGCGGGTGAGGGGGGTGTGAAGGGCCTCTGTCCATGTAGGGATGGTTGTTAAGTCTCCTGCCAAGTGACAACTAAGATTCAGATGCAAGGACTACCTCCACCTTGGACACAGTAACCAGGGTCTAGTGAGGGACATCTTTGGGTTCGTCTTAAAACTCAGTGTCTTCCAGCTGGGCTTGGTCTGCCTGCCAGGGCGCTGTGGCGTGTTCTTTGTGGGTATCAGGAGTTTCTGGCCGGGTGCCTCTGCCACCGCCAGGCCCTCCCATAGCTGTCCACTGTGGACAACGCATGTCTTTTATCAGCTCTTGGTCCCTCGCCCCCAGCCCCTCCCAGCATTTAACACAGAGAAACCGGTGCCATTAGCTCGATTGCTATGATCTGTCATGTTCCTGTGTGAAGTTGGTGTTTGCAGCTCTGGGCTCCTCTCACTTCAGGGAGTGTGTGGAAGATACTCCACACGATGTGACCACGGGCCAGCTCTGGCTTGTCCTCTGACCGTTCTCTCTTCTTACACTCAGACTTTGCTCACTCATGTTTGCGGTTGGCAGCCACGGCCAGCACAGAGCCCGAGAGTTGCTGGACTCTGTGAAAGGTGCCGCCTGTGAGTTGAGGGGACTCTCGTCACTTGGTGGCCACCACCATCTCTGCCAGTGGACGGTTGTTCCCCCGGTGCTTGGTCTCCATCTTCCGCCCTGAGCTCCTGCCAGACACGCGGGCCACTGCTGCGTAAGCAGGGTGAGAGGGATGCTCCTGTGGGCATTCAGAACCTTGAGTCAGCTACTAAAAGTCACTTCTGGTAGCTGCCGTTCACACAGGCCAACCCCGGACACTCAGAACTGTGGCACTACCGTTCTTGTTTTTTGAATGTGGTTGGCCACTACTTTCATGTGTTCAGGAAACATGCAGTGTGTTCTGTGTGACAGGCCCGGTGGATGCTGGGAGCTGTGAGATGGTGCTCTGTGCCCAGTACTCTGCCTGCACAGGGCGAAGGAGCTGGTTGCATTTGGGAACATCCACACTGTTCTCTCACATCATCCCCTGGTCCTCCCACCTGTAGGGGCCTAGCCCCCCCGACCAGCAACGGGAGTTGTTTGCACTGTTCTGAGGACCCTTCTCACAATTGCTGCATCAGAACTGACCCAGTGCCTCTGTCTAACTGCAGCCTGCTGGAGGGACAGACCCTGCCAGATGGCCTCGGGGCAGTGCCCAGCACTGGCTCTGCAAGGCAGCCATCGCCCCAGCATGCTCTCCCCCCCCAGCCCTGTGATTGGGCCGCAGGAGCTCACCCCTCCCCCAGCCCCCCACACTTGCCTTTCTCCCATGTGCGAGGTGCTACTCAGCTACCCTCAGACTCAGGCTGCCCGGCAATCAAGAAATCCCAGCCTTTCTTTCAAACAGACCTTGCTGTTGAACATGGAGCAGTAGCTGCCAAGGTCAAACTTGAGTTGGAGACCATGGTTGGAGTCCTAGCCATTCTGTTCTCAGAGCTGGGGCCACACTGAAGTGCATGCTCAGTGATCAAGTTTAAGAATAAATCCAGATACTGGTTGTCACCTCCTCAAAGCAGGAGTTGACAGTGTTGCCAGGGGGGCAGACAGGTGGAGACTGGTGGTGGGGGGGCTGCCCGCAGGGGAGCAGAGAGACATCTTGCTGTCACTCTAGTAGCGTAACAGCAGCTGAAGTGCTAGGAGACCAGAGAATGCAAAACCATGCCCATCAGAAAAATGCCCTGTCGGAGTCCGCCCTCGGTGCTGGAAGCAGAACAGGCTCGGGCTCATGGCCATAAGCTGTCGTGCAGCCGTGGTTGTAGACCCTATTCCAGCGGGAAAACGTTGAAGCAAAGGCTTAACGGGCTGTGCATCCACCCGTCCTCCTGAGCACCCAGCACACTCCAGGCCTGGCTGGGCCTTGGGGAAGCATGGTGAGGAGGATGCATTCACTCTGGCTTGTGCGTCAGGGGGTCAGGGGGCCGCTGCCTCTGGTCCTGCCTCAGCATGGAGGGACGAAGGTGAGGCCACCTGCCCGTGGAGCAGCCGCAGAGGAGGGACAGGGCCTCTGGGCAGATTCTACCCCTTAATCCCGGGCTTCTCAGCGCTGGCTGTACCAGAGGATCGCCTGGGACAGTTTGTTCTGTTTGGGGTGCTCACTTTTTGACATAACCTCCTTTTGGTTGTTCATTCTTCAGTTGTTGGACATTGCAGTTGGTTTCAGGCTATTGTGAATATTGCCAACCCATTCTGTACAAGTTTTTTATGTTGGCTCCATTTTTACATTTTCTGGAACATTCCCCTACAGACACTTGTGTGAATGTTTTCAGTTTTCTTGGGTATATACCTAGGAGGGGGATTGTTGAGGCATCTCATTAATTTTTATCTTGGACACTTACATCCTGTAATCCATAACACACTCTGTAATCTTGAGTTCCAAGACACTGAATACTTCTCTCCCTGACTACAACTGGGGCTATTCCCCGCAGGCTTCTTAGGGGCAATCCACCCTGCCTCCTCCCCTCACACCCTGGGGCTCTGGGCTGCAGGTCTGGCCGAGGGCTGCCCAGGCTTCCGCTGGTTCGGCTCGGGCAGAGCTCCTGGAGGCTCCGCAACCTGCCTCGCCAGGCACGCACCTCCGTTGCTTCCCCAGCTCCTTCTCCCCTCCCCGTGCTCCCCCTCACCGTGTTTTCAGGAACTTTCTTTACTGTCAACAGCTGTCAGAGTAACACACATTGCTTTCTTGGCCGTCCTTCCTGCTGTGCATCCACACCTGTTGTTTTCTGTCACATTCTTTTTTTCAAAAAATGGAAATACAAGTTGCATAAAATGAACCACTTTAAAGTGTACAACTTAGAGGTTTTCTGAGCACAGGTTCTCTGTGGTGCAGCCACCACCACGGTCATATCCCACGAATGCCCTCTGAGAGCTTGTGTGCCAGCTCTTTGCCATTGTGACACCATCCCCACCCCCAGCTGGGTTTCTCATGATAAGACCAGGAGAGGCAAAGTGACCACACATGATGCTCTTTCTTTCATGGCTTTGCGTTGTTACTTTTTGAGAACAGGTGGAGATCATAAGACTATACTGAAGCCAAGACCAGGCGGAGTCTGGCCACGGGTAGCCACGCCCCACCCCCTGGGGGTTCCAGTATGCTCCAGGGTGAGAACCCTGCCAAGCAGCAGGCAAAGCTGCTCCCAGCAGGAATCACACCCTGGTTGGGGGAGGGGCACACCCCCAGTTCTGAGGACCGCCTGGAGGTCAGCCAGCTCTACTGGCCAACTGTGCGTACTGGGAAGGCCCCTCTTGAGCCAGCCAGGGTCAGCTCTCCTGAGAACTGAGGCCACCTGCCATCCCACTTCTACTGCCGTAGTTGATGACCCACCATTCAGGGGCTAAGTGGTCTCCTGCACAGATGTTCTCAATGGCTCCCTGTGGCCTGTGGGGAAGTGTGAGGCTCCTGGCTGGTGTCAGAACCCACCTTGCATTTCTGCCCCAGCCCCGGCCAGCCTTGTCCAGTCTCTCTGCCCATCCATTCCGGCTACAGTTCTCCTGTGCACCTTTGCTGTTTCCTCTGCTTGGGTTCCCCCACCTCCAGTCCCTGCCCCATGTTACCAAGCTCGCCTCTAGGGTCCTGGCCTCCTGGTCTTTCTCCTACCGCCAGAGGTCCCAGGGCACTGCGCCTCCTTGTGGTCTAACCTGGAACTGCACTCCCTGGAACAGCTTCTGTCTATGTACCTCCTACAGCCACCCTGGTCAGGACATCACAGGTTCACCTGAGTCCCCAGCTCCTGGCACAAGGTCTGGCACTGCCTGGGTGACAGTGAATGTGAGTGAGCAGTGGGAAAGGGGGCCTTTGCAACTGGTTTGAGAATATTAGGGCAATCAAAAGTCCCCATGGAGGCTGTGGCTCGGGCAGGGTACCTGAAGGACTGAGGGGATGTTAGCCTACAGACACCAGAGAGAAAAAGCCTTCACAGTAGCCAGAACTTCCTTGGGCTCAGCGTGCTGAGTGCTTTGGCCCCCATTTCACTCCCATCTCCAGTGCTGCTGCTCCCGCAGGGGTGAGGCAGGGTAGGGACTGGGTTGGTGGGGCCAAGTGCAGGCACAACCCTGCCCTCCGTGGAAAACGTCAGCGAGGGGCAGGGTGAAGGGCGTCTGAGTTCCAGGACCTGTTGGTCTCAGCCTTGTCTCCCTCACCTGGGCGGTCACAGTGCCCACCTGCCCAGAGGCCAAGAGTCACAGGTCAGAGCACTTGTGGGAGGGACGCTGATCCTCCCCAGCACCAGCAAGGCCCCGCCTCTGCCAGAGGCTTGAGGCACGACGGGCACTGCAGCCAGTCTCCAAGGTGGCCCCAGGGACTGCGGCCTTTTGGTTTTCCCGCCCTCGTGTGGTCTGCTCCTGCGTCAGATCATCGGCTGGGAGCATGGTGGTGATAGTGCATAGATTCTGAGGCTAGGGGAGGAATTTTGGGTTTGGGCTTGGCTCTTGAATCCTGGGCTCTGAGGGAAGCCAGGCACCATACTGTGAGGACACAGGAACAGCCCTGGGGGCAGGCCCGGGGCCTCCTGCTGGTGGCAGGTCGTGTGAAAGTGCCGTGTTGGAGGTGGACGCTCCGGTCCCAGCCAAGACTTCCGATGGCTGCAGCCTCATGAGTGGCTCTGGGAAGCACCCACTGCCCCAGTGGCTCCCGAATTCCCTGACACTATGACCCGTCAACAGTTATTTCAAACCATTAGGTTTTGGGAAAACTTACTCCACAGCATCTGCTAATACAGCCCCTCTTGCTCCGGGGGCTGCTCTCCCCGGTTCTGGATGTCGGGCCGGAAGCCTTTTCTGTCCCTCTAACTGCCCTGCTTCCCGAGCACAGTGTGGAGAACGAGGGGATGAGAGGGGGCGCTGGACCGGGACAAAAATCAAACGACTCACAGCCAAATTTTTCTCCTCCATTTTAATGAACACTTTACAAAGTACAAAATATACTGTCTTTTGGGGGGAACATTAGGTACTTTTTTCTCTCCATCATACAGTACATGAATCTCGAGGGTTTTGTTTCTTCAACAAAGAAAGTAAGTGTGAGGGGCCCCAGTGTCGGGCTGCCTGGTTCTCCCCCTCACCCGGGGACAGATGGAGGCGCCACTGCTACTGCTGGTGACCTGGGTGCGTTCACCCCAAGGGGTTCGCTCCTCAGGATGAGGCCGGGCAGGGCAGAGGCCCCTCAGCGCCCCACTGCGCGTCCCACGGCCACTCATCGCAGGGTTAACGGAAGTGATTTTGGCATGGAGCACGAAAAGGGCTTCGGGGGCTGTGTCAGGCGCCCCCCACCCCAGTTCTGGAGCCAACCCCGCTCAGTTCTTCCCGGACCACCCGGTCTCCATCTTGGGACCCGAATTTGGCCAGTTTTTCATTTTCCCCCTCCTGTGGCCCCCCCGGCAGATGAGGGGCGCGGGCACCCCCCACCGCTCCCTGTGAATACCAGCCTCAGGACTGCAAGCTGGTCTAGGCTTTCAGGCTTGGCTGTGTGGACACGGCCCTGCAAGGGACCCCTCTGCCCCAACCTCAGAGCAGTCTTAACAAAGTCAAGGGCACTGGGGCAGTCCTCACGGGCCTGCCACTGCCTGCCCATCCCGCCCTCGACACATGGCCCACGGAACGCTACCAAGACCTCCAAATACTGATTAAGCCAGCCCCTTAGCTCAGCTTTGGACTCTGCACACACATGCTCTTATACACCCATGAATGTGTATGCCACAGCACACACAGTTGATGCGTAAGAGTAAACACGTGTGGCCATGCACAGAACAGTGTCCTGACTCAGCCTCTCAACCCCTTGAACCGAGGACCACAAACTCCCTCACTGCCTGGCTGCCCACAGGTGCCAGGGGGCTGGGCTGCAGGCTTCCACCGCCTCTCCCCCCAGCCACTCCTGGAGCCCGCGGCCCCCAGCACCGCAGGCACGGTGGCCAGCGGGCGCCATCTTCCCTTCCCAACACGGCAGCCTTCAACAGGAGTGTACGCAGTCGCAGCTGAAGGCCACCACCCACCTGTGGCTTTCCCCCATGACCTGTGCAAAGGTGTGAGAGAGAATTAAGGTTGTCCTTTGGCTGCCTCTAATTTGAAAATAAAAAACAAAAACTAAACAGTTGGGGTGACCGCTGAGACCCAGCTACACCTGGGCTCATCTCCCCTCGCGACAACCTGGGGCCCCTCTTCCCAAGCCTGCCCTCTGTCCACCACCTTGCTGGGCTCCCTCCCAGGCGGCCTCTCTGAACGAAGGGCCACTGCCCGCTCTAGACCCAGCCCCTCCCTCAGCTCAGCAGCCAGGACTTCCCCAGGCTCCTCTCACCAACACCAGTGTTTCACAGTGGCACAGGCGTGTTGGGGTGTCTTCCTCCTCCCTCCCCCCACCCCCGCCCAGTGTTCACGCAGGAAGTGGTGTCAGTCATTTCTCAGGGCTGGAGATCCCCAAGGTTTCTTCCCTTAACCGGGGCTGGGAAGGGCCCTTGCTGTCCCACATCCAGAACGAGAGGCCCAGAAGGGTGGCCCAGGGTGACCGTCAGTCTCCTAAAAGGTCTTCCTGGGAAGCGGGGCCAGGAGGAGCTGGCGGTGGGTGGACGAGTTCATCTCTGATTATCAGGCACACGGTACCCTTGCCTGGAAATCTGGGTCTGCCCCCTCCCGGCCCCTCCGACCTCTGTGGCGTTCTGTTGCCTCAGAGCCGACAAGCCTCGCCAGACCGCACACCGTCTGGGAGCCCACACTAGTCCCCGAGGCCAGGGTCTCTGCCGGGAGTGGGGGTGGTGGGCAGCTCTGGGCCTCCTCGCTCCCTCCCTGCCGGCCAGGGCCCCACGGCCTGGAGGTGGTGGGACGGGCAGCCTGCTGGTGCCTGGGGGCCGACCCCCAGAATCTTGGGGTGGGGGAGTCCGCACGCCTGTCCAGCGGGGTGTGTGCCCTGGGCCGAGGGCAGTGGCGCAGGGGGCACCTCCTGTGGGTCTCTGGGGACCCTCAGGGAGGAAGGAGGTGCAGAGTGGGCACTGCCCATCTGTGGGGTCAGGACTGGGGGCTGGGGCAGGGCAGGAGTTTCCTGGGAACCAGGGGAGCCCAGGCTGAGTATGGAGCAGGGGCAGATTTTTACAACTGGGGGGGGAGGAAGGGGGTGGTCATGACACCCCCCCCCACTCTGTAGTGTAGGGGAAGGGGTGGGCAAGGGGTTTAGATAGTTCAAGCTTTTCTTCCCAGGAAGTGGCACGGAAGCAAAGATACAGGGCCTGCCTGCTCGCTGCGGCTGCCTTGTCTGCCCAGTGTTCCTCCCCCTGCTGCATGCAACCCGCCAGCCAGTGCCAAGAAAGCCTCAGCCCTGATGGGGCACATTCATTCCTCAGGCCACCTCTGGTGGGTCTGGAGACCCCCACACCCAGCAAACCTGCAGATGGAGGGGGCAGCTAACCAGTGGGAAAAGCACTCACGCCCTGCCCTCCCCCACACAAATGCTGCGGAGACCAAATCACTGACTCTGCTAATCACGGACATGCACACACTGCATAGGCCTGAGAGAACAGCCGCCGGCCTCCACGGGCCACCTCACACAGCAGGGCGGGGAAGCAAAGGGCAGGGTTTCCCGGGCAGCAGCTGCCTCGTCCCCTCCCTGGACACAGCATCCGGGGCTCCCTCAGACCCTTTCTTAGACGGGGCCAGCGCCCAGTAGACAGGGGAAGAGAGCCCGAGGTTTCTAAGCTTGCAGGTGAAAAAAATCAGGTAAGCCGTCAGCATAAAACCAGCCATGCAAGGGGCGCGGGCCTGGACGGAGCCTCGGGCGACCATCCAGCGGGCCTGGGCCTTCAGGTCCGGAGACTGGTCTGTTAGAAAGCAAGAGGTCCCACCCCACTTCTCCTCTCTCTGCTCTACAGTCTTCCAAATACAAAGGTTCAGGGGTCTCGGCCGTGGAGATGGAGGTACAAGGAGCTGAATCCAACTTTCCTGGGAGACTGGGGAGAAGGGGGAGGAACCTCGACACCCGACCTGGGGCTCAGCTCCTGAGCTGCTGGTTTTGTTTTTCTCTTGAGGCAGGGCTGAGGTGGCTGGCCCACTCCTTTCCGAAGCTTAGCGCCCATAGACTTGAATCGAAAGCACAGGGCGGCTCCAACGTGCCTGTGTGCACGGCGGACGTGGCGGGCGGGGCCCTCACGCCCACGTGCGTGCACACAGCGGGGTCTGTGTCCACACGTCGCACACATGTGCGCGTGCCCACACGGTATATATTAACATATATATTGCTCAAGTATATATGCTATTTACAGTATATATCTCTATCAACATAAAACACAGGTATTTATACGTGTGTACAATAGATGCGCCCTAGTGGCCTGGGAGCACGCATTTCTGGGGTCACGGGGCCTACGCACTTGCTCAGAAGGAGGAAAAGCCCAGTTACGTGATTGGGGACCGACAGGAGGGGTCTGGGGAGGCACACCGCGGAAAACCGAGGCCTTCCACGGACAGGAAGGGGACTCGGGGCTTCAGGTGCCGCCCCGCCCATGTGGCCACCTCCATTTTGGAACCAGCTAACAGTTTACACATTTTGGTTAGGGAGTTTTGTGCAAAATGAATTAACTTAAAAAAGAAAAAAGGTGGCTTCCTACCCGGGTGTGGGCCCTGAGACCCGCCCACAAGGGCTGGGACACACAGTTCCGAAACCTGGGGCTTCCAGCACAGGGGCCCACACAGCTCAGCGAGGGGGGCGAGGCCCGTGCGGGACCAGAACGCCCCCTCTCCCCACAGCTTCTCAGGGGCGGCGCGGGGCTGCAGTGGAGCCTGTGTGCTCCAAAAGCACCCCCAGCTGGGGAGGAGGCACAGGCCTTACCCCTTTCTCCCTGAATAGCCTCCAGGGGGACAAGCCACCTCAGCTGACCTGCCACCTGGCTGTCCACCCCCCGTGGCCCTCAGGTCCCCTCTGACACTTGGAACCACGGCTGCCTGGGTACCTGTCATTAGGCCTGGCTGGGCAGCCCTGTGTGAGGCACCCTGGGGCCCATCTACAAACGGCCTTCTGCTCCCAGTGTCCGGCTCCAAGGGGGGCCAAGGCCCACAGTCCTCATGCTTGTCCTGGGAGTCACGGGGCACCAGCTGGGGGACGTCGAGCCTCAGGGCCTGACAACCCGGTAGGCAGGCCCTGCTTCTTGAAATGGCTGCTGACCACAGCCTGAGCGCAAATACGTTAAATAAGAAACTAAACAAAGTACGGTTTTCTCTGTTAAGGCTCAGATAAGCTGCCTCCCAGATCAAGTACTGATGAGTGCCACAGGCCCCAGACTGAGGGGTGGGCAGGTGGGGGAGTTGGGGGGCAGAGGCCTTCTATGTCCCCTAAAGTGGGACAAGGGAGGGGGCAGGATGACAGGGGAGCCCTGTGCTGGCCTAGTTGGGGAGGAGGGCGGTGCCTAAGAAACCTCAGGCCCGGAAGGCTGGCAGGACCCTCACCTGGGGGAAACCGAGGCTCCGCCTGCCCGAGTAGGGTGCAGGGAAAGCAGAGGGGATGGGAGCTTGTGCCCCACGCTGGTGGGTCTCCTGGGAATCCGGGCAGGAACCCCCGGTGGGTCTCCCAGGAGTGAGAGCTTGTGGTGGGAGGGTGCGGAAAGGGCCCCGCTGGCAGTCTTGCTGGGAGTTGGGGCACAGGCCCTGTGCTTGGCAGGCAAGATCCCGGGGGGCTCGGTCGCCCCCGGCTCAGCGCTCCACCCGAGCTCTGCTGGAGCCTCATCTGCACATGCCCCAAGGGCTGCCCACTGGACTTCACTCCGGGAACCGGCCCCGAGCTGATGGAACCCGAGACCAGCAACCACAGGATCCAGCTCCCCACCCTCGCGGTGCCTCCCAAGGCTCCATAAACTCAGCCCCACTTGGCCTGCCCCCCCAAAACATGTGAATTGAATTGGGACCCCAGTGTCTTGCAGGAGGTGCCAGCTTACTTCAGTGTCTGCTCCCAGCTGTGGGTGAAGCCAGGTGAGGAGGTGGGTCAGCTCAGAAGCTCCCGGGGCCTCCGGCATCATTTTCTGGAGTGGAGGTGGGAGGAGGAGATGGGTGTTCTAGGGAAGGCCTGGGGGCTCTGGGAAGGCAGGAGGGGGGGTGGGGGCCTGGCTTGGGCTCCAGGCCTGGCAAAGTCAGCAAATGGGGATGGATGTCTCTGAGGCCCTTTCTTTGGAGGACCTAGGGATGATTTTCCAGTCTGTTGAGAAATACTGCAAGAAGAATCTTCAGGTGGGGCTGGGCCCAGGGCTGGGGCGTGGACAAGGAGGGGAGAGATGCCCTCCTAATGCTTCTCTGCTTGGCTGACTTTCAGGGCGCTGATGACGCCGTTGATGTTTTCTTCTGGTACCTGCAAAGGGCAGGAGGCCACCGACATGTGAGCCCTTGGAACCGGCTTCCCTGTGCAGGGCGGTTGGGGCTGGACACTCACCAGTGCATGGTCGAACTTGAAAGTACTGATGTAGTAGGCGGGGATGTCTGCAGCAGCCAAGGGCTCCGAGATTTGGGCCACAATGCCACACTCATCTGGGGACAGAAGTGGGGACCGTGCTCAGCCTCCACCTGACATCATCACCGGGGCGCTGGCCAGTGCGGCCCGGGCCCTCCTTGCTTCTCAGCCCTTCCCGTCCCTCTGCCAGTGGTGCCTGTCCTGTGCCCACAGTCTTCCCAGAAAATGCCCACCTGCCCCCTGAAGGCCCAGTGCAAAGGCTCCCCGACCCAGGAGCCTTCTTGGATTCCCTCGGCCAGCAATGAGCTCTGCAGTGTTAGGGCCCACCAGTTCTGTCTAACTCTGGTCATTCTCTGTTTCCACGCTCCGTAGCCCCATTCTGTCTTCCCCGCGACCTCCCGAGTTCTCTAAGACGGAGCCGGAGGCAGTGTGGGCAAGGGGCACATGGGTTCAGGCCCCCTTTTCTGTCACTGACACTTTTCTAGCCAGATGACTGTGGCAAAGTCGCTTCCTCTCTCTGAGCCTCAGTTTCCTCATCAGAGTCCCCACTGGGCAATGGCCCCTGCCTGTCCTAATGGCAGGGTCAGGTGTTTGGTTGGGCTGGGACGTGACTTCCTATTCCAAGGTGTGGTGCTTTCTGGTCTTCCAAACCTCATCTGATGAGGCAACCTTGGGGTTGCCTAGGGCTGGTCTTATCCTCAACTGCAGCTTCCTCCCTGACTTAAATGTACCACTCAAGGCTTCCTCCTACAGGAAGACCACCTGGACTACTCCCCTTGAACACAACTGTGTGTTTTCCTTCAAAGCTACTGTTCTGATTTTGATGAAGATGCATTTCCCTAACACTAGCCCAGCCGACTGCAGGTGGGGTGGTGGTGGGTGGAGAGTTTAGATCTGGTCACCAGCTCCCATGAAATTCTGGGGCTAAAACCTGGGATTAACCTGGGTCCCACCCCCAGGACCTGTGCAGTGACCCTGGTGGCTTCTCTAAGTCCGTGCTCTGCCCTTGGTCTGCCTGTGCAGACCTCATGCCTACACTCCCGGGGGCCGTCCTGTGCGGCTATGAACGGAGCCTGGCTGTGTCCCGGGGCAGCTGTCGCTACAGACACAGCTACTCCACAAAAGGGGGAGGGGAAGAGATGAGGGTCTAGAACGGTGCATTTCCAACTGCGGGTTGTGACCCACTAGTGACTTGACTTTAGAAGGCTTGTGACCAGTGTTTTATGAAATGACACCACAGAGGAGGAGAGGTCAGGCAGCACGGCCTGTGGCCAGATGAACGCAGTGTTGCGAGACTGTGGTTCAAGCTGCTGGGGGGTGTGATGTAAAATACGCTTACTCCAGCCACGGTCAGACACACGGAATCGCCGGTCTGGAACCTGTCAGAGTCTGCGCTGTTTTCCTTGCAGGGCCCTTCACAGGTAGGAGCGCGGCGCTAAACCCTCCCCCTCCTCGGAAGGCAGATCCGGCTGTCGCCTTCCCTCCTGCCTGCCTGCCCGGCTCGCAGTGGTGTCCACACACCCCTCTCCCCGTCAGCATCCACGAGGCCCAGCCTCGCTCCACAGCAGCGTGCAGATGCTCGCCGGCACCGAGACGGCGGTTCCCTCTACTGTCTCACCTGTACTCCTCCATCCGGGCTTTCTGGGTACTATTACTGTACTGAGTGCATTTTGGTGAACTCAAAAGCAAAGCTGGGATAAAAAGATAAGCAGGTGTGCATGTCTTCCAGCCTCTCCCTGCGTCTCCTCCTGGAGGCTGCTGCCTGCCGCCCCCACCTGCTGAAGCTCTGCAGGAAGACGCGGGCAGACCCCTTCCTTGGTCCGGCCCCGGAACCGTGCTCCTTCACCTGGGAGGGCCGGGCGGGAGCTACGCCGGACCTGCCACCCCTTCCTGCCCGCCCAGTGCCTGCCCACCGGTCGGCTCCAGAGCCACCGCCTTCCAGAAGCCTTCCCTTCCTGGACCTTCTCTGAGCCACCTGGTCCCTATGTGACAGTGACAGCAACGGCTGCTTGCTGAGCACACGGTGCAGCTGACACCTCCTGAGGTGCCCAGAACCACCACGAGGCACTATCTTTATCCTTATTATACAGATAAGGAAACCGAGGCTCGGGGGTAAGCAACACACCCCAAAGTCCAATCTCCCGCCTCCTTCACTGGGCAGCAAATGTGGGAAATGCTGGGGTTTGTGCAGAAGGTGGCCAGAGGGGCAGGCGGGGCCCCAGGGTCAGAGCAGGGGCCTTCAGCACGCACTTCTGGCCCCTGGACAGTAGCGGAATGTCCTCCTGCCCCAGGATGGCTCTGGCTTCGGCTTTGGCGTGAGCAGTTAGGGGACAGTGTCCTGCAGGTCACCATCCACCTGCAAATGTGGATGGTGGGAGCGGGTGGCAGAACCTGGCCCTCACAGACCCGCTGCTCCCAGGTCAAAATGCCCTGCCACCTCCGTGTCCTGTCCCAGGAGCCAAGCCTGCAGGGTGGACCTGAAGGCCCCCGGGGCAGTCTGAGTGTTACTGGAAGCACCCTGCACCCCGTCTATGAGAAATCACGGTTCGCTGGTCCCACGGGCTTGCCAAGGATGCTCCCTGGAAATAACCGCTCTGCGATTTACCAAGGGCGCCTCTGGGTACCGGCTCTGGGCCTCGAAGTCTGATGACGGAAACCAACCCTTTCTCACTGAGACAGAGCTCTACTCCAGGCGTTCTGCTGCTCCCAGCAGGGCCCTCGGCCTGCACCCCACGCTGACAACGTGCGTGTCGCATGGCCCTTCTAACCGAGGGGTCTGAGGCCCAGGGCCCCACGGAAAATGCTTATGGGCACAACTACCTACCAAAGCTACTGTATGGAGAATTGTAGAACCTGACGCTAGACTGAGCCTTAGGGAATCACGCGAACGTTCTCCCGGGGGATCAGGTCACGGCAGTTTCGGAGGAGGAAGTGCCTCCCCCAGAACAGACGAGGTGCAGCCCCCGGACGCCTGAGACTGGCTGTGAGCTGGCCAGTGAGTGCTTCACGGGAAGGACGCAGCCGAGACTGGTGAGCAGGGGGACTAAGGAGTGACCTTCTTTCCCTCTTCCACTGTTATCATGCTCCCAGTTTCCTAATACTGAGCAGGTGTGTATTTTCTAGTCGGGGCGGGGCTGGGGGGGAACAGGGGGGCTCTGGTTGAAGCTGCTCCTCCTGTCCTCCAGGGGCCTGTACCGCCCGTCACTCACTGGCCCGGGACCTGGGGCTCCCATCTGCACCACCGGGTACGACGCACAGGCTGAGCAATTCCCAGTGACACCAGTGCCCAGCTCTTGGAGGCACTCGGCAATGCCAGCCTCCTCACCCCGGCTGTTGAACCCCACGGGGCTTACCAAATCCCAGGGGCTGTCCTCCAATCCGCACCATCTTCCAGAGCTCTCCGGATGCACTCGTGAACAACAGATTACTAGGGAACCTTCGGAGTGGGGGGAGAACCATCCCAGACAGCAGAGGTTAACAGTGCTCCCCGGCCAGCCCTCCACGGAGCCACCGGATGGGCCTGAGGACCCCTGTCGAGTCCTTGACCCACTCTCTCTGCACCCTCCTTGCCTGGGGGTGGGGGTAGGGGGACGGGAAGGCAAGGCTGGGGCTGGGCTCTGGACCAGCACGGGGGGCCGAGGGACCAACGGCGCCCAGACGACCTGGGGCCAGCTCTCCTGCAATGAGGGGCTGTGGTGAGGACCCACCGGGGACAAAGTGGGCGCCGTGCCCATCATGGAGTCTAGCCCACCCTGAGTCCACCTCCGCCCTGTGGCCGGCTCACCTCTGCTGGGTCTGCACGTCCATCACCAGGGAGATGTAGCCCTCAATGAGGGAGAAGGAGAAGAAGCGGATGTGGCCACAGTCATCACTGGCAGCCATCGGGTCCTTCACGCTGGGGGCAGGGGTGCTGGTGAGGGGCAGAGTGGAAGGCCCACTGCCCGCTGACCCCCACCTGGCTCTCTGGCCCCGCCTGCCAGCCTCGGCATGAAGCGTCGGGCAGAGCCCGGCCTGGGAGAGCAGGGCCAGGCCCCGGCCCCGCCCCTGCCCTGCGGGGTCACCCTGAGCCAGGGTCATCCCCTTGGTCTCATCTGTGAGATGCACAGGCCTCCACTGCATTCACGGAGGTGAGCACAGCACTTCGCAGTGCAGAGTCCAGCTGGCCCCGGGCAGGCTGTGCTTGCCCCCTCCCAGGTGGGGTTTCTTTGTCCTTGTGCTGGCCCACGCCTCGGCACAACCCGTGGTCACTGCCAGCTCACTGGCACCTGCACCCACCCGACCTGGTGCTGGCCTAAATTTAAAATCTGTTCTGAGAAAAAAATGTAAAGCCTGTCACCCTCCGAATGAAAAACCCCGAGTTCCTGGCTCCTCCAGGGCTGAGCTTGCCCTCGGAGCAGAGAGCAGCGGGCGCTGTTCCGTCCACACGTGCACCTGGGCTTCCCCGGTTCTGAGGTTCCCGAGGAAGGCTGTCTCCCTTCTGGGGACGGGGCTGTGGGTGGAGACACACTGGCGCCCAGGGCAGGTCTGGATCCCAAGACGGGGGGGCTCCTGGGTTCTGCCACGGCTCCCCTCGGCCTGGCCCGCGGCCCCTCACACCCCAGGGGGACCTACCCGTTGGAGTAGAACATGACGTCCATGAGGAGTGTGGCCACAGCGGGCAGCGTGTCGGGGTCCAGGCTGGTGACACAGAACCTGTTGCTGGGGCTGGACAGTGGGTGGATGACAGGCCTCTGGACTGTGAGACGACAGAGGGGGCGTCGAGGTCGTGAGAGAGCAGCGTGTGGGGCGGCTGGAGGCCCAGGAGGCCCGCCCGTCATTGCTTTAGCCTCCACCTGCACGCACTGCTCCTCTCATCGCCACCCCGCCCCCAGGGCTGGGCCTTTGCACGGGCTGTAGTCTCCGCCTGGAACGCTCTTCCCGACCGTCACTGTCTGGGTCAGCTCCCACGTGGGCTCCACACGTCACTCAGCTCGAGCATCGGTGCCCCTGGGAGGTCCACCCTGACACCGGGGGCCGGGCGGGCTGCGTCCGCATCCACCACCCGTGCTAGACCCTGGAACAGCGTCCGAACCAGGACTCCGGACTGCGTGGTGCCTGGAGTTCAGCTGATGCTGTGAGCCTGGCCTAGGGCAGGACTGGCTAACAACTCCTTTTTTAAAAATTGAATTTGTTGAGCTGCCCTTGGTTAATAAAATTATACAGGTTCCAAGTGTCCAACTTTATAACCCATCATCTGCATACTGCATCATGCATTCACCACCCCAGACAGTCTCCTTCCGTCACCATTTACTCCCCTTGACCCTCATTACCGCCCCCCCCCCTCTGGCAGTCACCCCACTGTTGTCCGTGTCTGTTTTCTGTCTTAATGACTTCACCATTTTCACTCAGCCCCCCATCCCGCCTCCTCTCTGACAGCTGTCTGTCTTGTCTGTTCTCTAGATCAACGAGTCTCTTTCTACTTTGTGAGTTCAGTTTGCTCATTAGAGTCACACTAAGAGAAGTCATATGGTACTTGTCTTTCTCGGACCGGCTTACTTCAGGGACCTGGTGACTCCCTGAGGTCCCTCGCTGACCACAGCCCCCACCCACTCACCCATCTTGGGCTTCACAAAGCCATTGGTGATGCCAAGGTTCTCAGCCGCCACCGTCTCACCATTGACGACCCGCAGAATGGTGAACTCAGAGGACAAGGTGTGGGTGACAAAGGGCAGGTCCCGCTCACGCACCTGGGGAAGGGGAGTTGAGGATGTGAGTGTCTTGTGGCTCTGGATCAACTGGGCCTGGGGCAGCGACCCCTTCACTCTGAGAGTCTGGGCCCCAGAGCCTGCCTCCCGCCCGTGACTCCTGCCCCCTGGTGGGGGACGGGAGCTTGGGGTCAGGGGCACTGCGCTCCAGGGGCAACAGGAATGGCACAGAGGGGAGAAGACACCGCACCGGGGGCTGGGAGGTGCAGGTCCGTCCCTCGTCCCACCCTCTAGAGTGCTGGGCCCAGACCTGTTCCCCCTCCAGGCCCCTTCTCCTGAGGGTGGCCATGCCCCAAGGAGGAAGAGAATGAGTAACACGGTGTCCAGGAGCTGTTGCTGGCCCCCTGACCAGACAACCTGCCATCCCGGGGGAGGGGCGGGGGAGTGGGGAGACAGAGGTCCAGCTGGGAGGGCATCCCACCCACACGTGCGCCCCGCAGACCTCACTTCCTGGCCTCCAGGAAAGCCCAGCATGTCCCCATCAAAGGCAGGTAGTGGGTGTGGTGGGGCAGAGACCTAGGGTCCAGTGCAGGCCATGCTTACATTTCACTGATGACCCTGAGGTCCCCTGACCTCTCTCTGAGCTGATCAGAGAGTGGGGACCACAGAACTTGCAGACAACGCCTGCGGGGGTGTCCGTGTCGCCCGAGGCCCGGGGTGGGGTGAGGCGGTTACCAGGATGAAGTCCGTCTGGTAGGTGGACAGCATGAACACGGAGATGTTCTGGTCGGCCAGCGGGGCGATGACCGACTTGGCGATCTTGGTCACTCCGATGGGCTGGGAGCTGGAAAAGCCGCCGCCGCCCGACACTACATTGAGGGCCAGCCAGGTGGCACCTGCCACACTCAGATGCTCCGAGGAGGGCAGCTCTGCAGGGGGCACAGAAGGCCGGCCTGTGACTGACGGGCCCCAGGTCCCCAGGGCAGGGAAGGTCCCAGGGGTGGGGACTGAGACCTGGGACCAACTGTGTGACCTCAGCCAGACCTGCCTTCTGGGCCTGAGTACCCTCATCTGTCAGGGGCGTGGGATCTGCCTCAGAGGACTTTGGACATGGTGGGCGGCTCAAGAGAGTGGGAAACACAGGGACACAGGGACACAGGGTTTATCAGTGTTGGGCCTCAGTTTCCTCCACTGTGAAATGACAAATACACAGCAGCCAGTAGTGATTTTGTTACTCTTAGACCTCACCGCCCTCTGGGCGGCAGCCGCTGCCATCGCTGCCCACACCAGTGGAGTGGGTCCCCTGGTTTTCAAACTGGGCTCCCGGGAACTTCCCGGGAGGCGGGGGGTGGAGGGGAGGCCGGGAGGAGACAGGACGGGGGCCCGGGGGTCCTCCCTGCTTCAGCCAGACCTGCTGGGCCGCGGCTTCTCTGCAAGAACACACGGCTCCAGGAAGGCTCCTGGGGCCACCGTCAGGTGGGCAGCGGCTGTCACCCAAGCCCCTCCCGAGGGCCTGGGAGTCCTGAGGGGCTGGCAGGGGTGGGGCGGGGTGGTTCAGAGCGACAGCAATTCTGGGGCTCCCTGACCACCTCACGAAGACCTGGATTCCATGCGTTCAGACCATCCGTTTCACTGCATCCTGCAGAGCCGCCAGAGAGGCGGGGGCACAGAATGTGTGCACTCGCCTCCACGAGCACAGAGCTGAGCACGGACTCTCCACGCATCACAGACACCTGCCCAAACCCACCCCACCGAGGGACTGTTATTCCCACCGCAGACACCCCAAACCAGAGCTCTGGAGGGCAGTGATTTGCTCAAGATCACTTAGGGAAGGACACTGCCAGGATCCAAGCCCAAGCCCGATGCTCTCATGCTCTATCTTGGGCACTGAGTGGGAAGAAGGGCCAGGCCCCCAGGAAGAACAGAGGCTAAGAGGGGCCCAGACACCAGTGATGTGGATGATGACGGTAATACCCCAGGGAAGGCTGTGCTGGCCTCAGGCAAGATGGCTCCCAAGGAGGGGAGATTGAGGGAGGCCCCGCCAGGCTCCTACCTGCCCAGCTCTGGTCGTCATGGCGACCACAGCCCAGCAAGTCCATTAGTCCTGCTGGCTGAGAAGGGCCAGTCCTTGGCCAGGCTGGCTGGAGAGGCAGGCCACTTCCCAGAAGAGGGAGGGCAGGGGAAAACGCCTGAAAAGGCGCTGGGTCTCAGGCAGCCACGTCCAGTCTCTGCTCGTCACCTGAGGTGTCCTGGAGGAGACTTCTCCAGCCCGGGTCCGTCTGGGCAGACGCTAGCAATCCCCCCTCTGGCTCTCAGCCCAGAAGAGAAGCCCCCGAGGCTCCTCCAGCGGCAGGACTGGACTGTGGGGGACCCAGACTAGCAGTGACCCCCTGAGTTTTCCGGAAGAGTGAGCTCTGTAAGCGGGAAACCACAGCATTTGCTGCTTCTGGCCCCACAGACCCCGAATGCTGCCCTGCATTCTGAGGGACAGGGAGGGGCTGCAGGGCATCATCCTCACCCCAGGCCAAGCCTCAGCGAGCCCACAGTGCTGCACTGGGGCCTGGGGATGAGCTGGCAGGAGGTGCAAGCTGACTCTTCCCTACAGGGAAAGTGGACCCATTCCAAGACTGAAACAGATTATCTTGTCACTGCCCATTGTCCAAGGCCCCAAAAATAGCTTCTTGGAGCTGAGGACGCTCCCTGGTAGACGAGGTACTAGTGTCTTGCCACCCTCCTAGTCACAAAGTTGGGTGACTGTGCTGGGTGCGGCCCCCACCTGCCCAGGAGCCCGGGGTTCTGGCTGCAGGACCTGCGGTGCCCTGTGGTACACAGCAGCGTCCTCTGCACAGGCCTGTGTGCCTCCGGCTCCCCCTGCCCTGCCTGCAGCGGGGCCAAGCGGGGCCAAGCGTCCTAGGGTAGGGCAGGCAGCTTTAATCCTGGCCACGTGACCTTGGGCCCCTGGGTTTTTAAGTTTTCAAACGTGGGATGATGAAACCAGGATCAACTGGGGAAGTGCTTGGAGGATTAAATGAGATAATCCCCACCGAGCACTGGGCTGAGTGCCTGGCACCCACCCAAGGGCTCGTCCAACGCCAGAGCCTCTCTGTGCTCACGAGGCTGGTGGTGGCCTTGCAGGTTCTGGATGGCAGTTGGGTAAAGTGTATCAAGAGTTTTAAAAATGTTCAACTTCGCTGTAAAGGAGCACAGCCAACCCTTGAACAATACGGGTTTGAAATGTCTGGGTCCACTGACGTGCCACGTCGGCCACGAGCGTGCCTTAACAGAACTGAGAGGAGGGTGGTGACCGTTTGGGACGAGGCCACGGAGGCCCCAGGGTGCTGAGCGGCTTGCCCAGAGTGATAAGCAGTGAGTAGCAGGGCTAGATCCGAACCTGGACCTTCCCCTCTGAGCCCAGTGCAACACCAGGAGTTGCCTCTCAGCATCTTCCTCCTCTACCTTTCGGCCGGTCCTGGCTCCAGGAGCATGTCCTCCTCCAGTGTGGTACAGACCCCGCTGACGCAGGTAAGGGGACTGTGATGCGGGGGCAGTGAAGGGGTCCTGACTGGCACTGTGCCCCGCTTAACTGCAAACCTAAGATGCTGCCCACTACCCAGAGGTCATGGTAGGGGCTGCCGCTCACATTAGCTTGGGTCCCTGAGAGCATCTAGCATTGCACCTAGTAAGTGCTCATTAAATATGTAAAAGATCCAATCATACACACACACCGAGAAACCCCTTTCTCGCCACACATCGACACCCGGCATCCATTTGCACAAAGAACCTCTGCAATTCCACATGAAACAGAGAGCCATCTGGTCAATGTCACTGACAGCTGCCCCACCCTCCCAGGGAAGGCTCAGCATTTTACATACATGTGAGCCACAGACAGCTGCTCGTGCCTACCCGGGAAGGCTTCCCGCTGACAATACTGCCAACGAACAATGACCAAGGCTCCCTGGCCACGGGAGGCCCCTGGGCGAGAAGCAGTGTTCGCACAACCGGGACAGAGCTCCGTCCTTCACACGGCGTGGCACACCAGCACCCCCGCCCGCCCCGCGGCGGTGGCCACAGACTGAACCCCCTTTCTGAAGAGGAGCCTCCTCCCAGAAACACCCCCGCCCAGAGCTGAGGCGAGAGGCTGGAACTCAGCAGCCCCCGCCCCACACCCGGCCCTCTGCGGGCCCTCCCAAACAGCCCACTGCACACCGGCCCATGCTCCTGCTCAGCTGCCCCTGACCTTGGCCTGTGGGGAACCACCACCGCACTTCCTACTTCAAACAGGCCCCCATCACTCAGGGACTCGGGGCACCACAATGTCAGTCTTCCCTCTTAGAAAATGCATCTGTACACTTTACCCTCAGGCCGCTGGAATGATCCCAGGAAGCGATGCATCTCTGCGGCCGGGTACAGGTGAATCTTATTTTGGATACTTCCCCCTGTAGCTCCACAACAGGAGTATGAGAAGTACTACTTTAAATGCACAGTTTTTTCTTGGGCAACAACAGCTATCCAGGCAGCCAGCTTTGCTAGCCTGGAAGGGAGAAGTTACAGAGCCCTGAGGCTCCTGGGGTCAGAGATGGTATCTCTCAATTCCAGTTACATCTCCAGGGCCAGCCAGGTGATGGCGCATCCTAGGTGCTCAGTAAATTCTGCCTCCTGCAACCCTGGGGTTGGCTCCGACAACCGGCCCCTCCTCCGTGGGCCGGTTCCTGCACATGGGCTTCCAGGGCCTGCGAAACTGGCTGATCAGGTCCCACGGCCTCCCTCTCTCCCTCCTCATGCTGTTCTCTCATTAGCTGCTTCCAGATGTGGAGACTTTAGTCTCCTCTCGGGAGGAGGGTTAGATACAATATCTATTCCCGGAAAACATACTCCGGAGCGTTCCTTCTGTGTCCAAGAGGCCATGATTCTCAGCAGTTCTGCATCAGAAGCATAAGTGCCCACGAGAAAGGGAAGAGGTGTCTGGGTTGCCTGAGTGTACAGCTTTCCTGTAGCAGTGGCTCCTGTAGTCAGAGAGCGGCTACTGAATACATGGACGGGTGACTACAGGGGTGCCTCCTAGCCCTGCTCCGGCCATGCAGGTGCCCCGGGGAGGCAGGGGACGACACTGCGTCCTTGCGATGTGAAGGCTGGGCCCGTTCCAGACGCTGGCGTGGTGCCCCGAGTGCCAGTGGGCCAGGATGACAGAACAGAGCTGGAGAGATCGCCTCCCGGGGGTTTCAACATGAGTGGAGGACCGTAAAACAGACAACTTCTGACCCGAACGCCATTTCTCAGATCCCATTTTAGGGATCAACCCGAAGAAGCCCAGACATCACACATTTAGAGAGTCTATAAATTTATCCTCGGAGAAAATGAAAGCAGCTTTAACTCTAACCTTAGGGTGCTGGGCGAGAAGTGGGGCTACTGTGAAAGACTGTGATGTCACAGGGGACTTGAAGCTGTAAGGTTACGTGAAACCATTTGTACACATACTGTGCTCATAAGTAAATTAAAAAGAGACATCCCGTGCACAGAAAAAGCTGAAACGCTAGAAAGTCACTAGTCACTGGGGTGGGCTGCGGCTTCACAATGCCGGGCCTGTCTGTCTGTCTGGCAGGATGGGGTTCGGACGGCAGCTCTGGAGGACACGGCTCCCCCTTCCGTTCTCAGCCTCTCGCGTGTGGGTGCAGTGCCTTCCCATGAATTAATGTGTATCGGTTAATTCACGAGTGAATGTTCGTTGCTACTTTAGAGCAGAACAAACATGAAAACTTTAGTAATGAAACTGCAGTGCAGTCCGGGGAGGGGAGAGTGACTGCCAACAGGCAGCGGGTGTTTCTGGGCGAAGAAGGGTTTGGGACAGAGTGCCGCGGGCCCCGCCCCCACCGGGTGTCAAAATTCGCTCGGCGGTTGCGTACAGCACGTACACTACACCTCGATTTCAAACGTGGAGAAAAGGTAAAGGGAGGTCACGAAGGATGGCCCCTGGGGCTTGCTCCAGTGGGAACGAGGACTGAGTGCAGGGTCAGGCGCCTCAGCCCCGGTGGGCACTGGATGACACGTCTCTTGCTCCCCGACTACTTTAGTTCCTGGCTAAGTCAGCTCTGCGTCTCGGTCACTCTTTCAGCTCTGAGGCCTTTCGGGGCAGAGAGAGGGAGGGGCAACCAGCGACAGGACACGGGGGAGAGAAGGCTGTCGGCCGACGGCCCCCCCCACTGGCAGGTGGGGGCGGAGATGAGGAGGCGGCAGCCACGGAGGACAAGGCGGGGGCATGGGGCAACCACGTCCCAGAGAGAGGCACTCACCCAGGAAGCCCTCCTCATCAACGATGATGGTGTAATCCTCTGGGGTCTCAGTCAGACTGAAGAACTTGCACCTGGGTGGACGGACAGACAGACACAGGATGTCAGTTCCACATCGGTCCTGGCAGAACACTGTGGTGACCCAGCAGATAACTCGGTTTACCCAGAGCTCGGTCCTCAGGCTGCACGTGACCTGCAGTACGCTGCAGTAAGCTGCTTATCTCTCCCCCCACACCCCCCAGGTCTGACTGGGGAGGTCTCAGAGAGCCCTGGCGACGGTGAGCATCCACGCTGAACCCCAACCTTTGGGGCCTGTGAGTCAGCAGCCTCTAGGGCCCGTATAGACCTGTGGGTCGCGGACCCCACTCTTTCAGGGAGGAAGTGGCTGAAGGGCAGCTCTGGCAGGGGTCGTGCCAGTGAACTGTCTTTCCCATGGGCCCCCCATTCTGACCTCTAGGCCTCAGTCACTGTCCCTCTACCCGCAACCATCCAACTGGAGAGCCCCCACTGTCACTCGGGGACTAATTCCTGCCACCCAGGTGACAGCCCGGCCTTCGGGCACTTCCCCCTGCATGTGGCCATCTCTGCGGTTTTGGGGCACGAACCCCTCAACTGCCACATGTCACCTTTGGTAATACTGCTTAGCCTGGGGTGTACAATGCTCACTCCCCAGCAAAGACCACCAACTTCCCAAGGCCAGGGACTGGCAGTCACTCCGTCCCTCCTTCCCTCATCCCTGCTGGGCCTGGATCTACGTACACTCTTGGTGCCTGGCAGACACACTGAGCTCTGCGTCCAGGCTTTCTGTCATGGGGTGACGGGGTCACCACCCCTCAGTGCCTGTCTCTGTCCCCCATGCAGCCAGAATGGCCCCCGGACACTCCGGGTGCAGCTTAGGGAGAGAGGGTGTGCACAGGCTGTGGGACACAGGCAACGTGGTCATTCGCCCGGCCTCGCCGCTCTCAGGCGTGAGGCCCGGCATGGGCTCCACGCCCAGGGCGTGAAACTCACCCGTCACGCGAGCCGTCAGAGAGAGGCCCAATGAGTAGACTCAGCAAGGGCCCAGATATCACTTCTCCAAAGATTAAAATGGAAAGGGGACCTTGAAGGGGGTCGGCGGTGCAAGGACCCGGGGGGGCCGGGAGGCCCGAGGACCTCTCCCCTCCTGGGGCCCCCTCTGCCCGGCCGCACCGAGCCTGGTCGATGGCACCACTGCAGCACCCTTCAGTGCTCTTCTTCACATTTTTCAAAAGGAACGAGAGCAACCAGAACTAGTAGGAATGCAAAATGACACAGCCATGTGGAAAGCCGTCTGGCAGCTTCTCATCAAGTTAAACACACACCGACCACACAAAGGAGCAACCCCACTCCTGGGTAAACCCCACCCTGTTTACCTGGGAGAAGGCAGGCACACGCGCACACAAAGACCTGGACGCGAGGGTTTGTGGCCCTGGTTGGTCACCACCCCGACCTGGAGACAACCCAAGTGTCCTCCCCTCGACTGGAGAGCTGCATGAACCGCAGGGTACTGGCTGGCAAGAGAAAGAAATGAGTTACCGACCTGTGCAATGATGTGGTGAATCACAGATGCATCTTGCTAAATTAAAGCCGGACTCAAAAGGTTCTGATACTCTACGATTCTCTTTATTACATGATATATGGAAGAAGCAAACTGTGGTAAGGACAGAGGACAAATTCGTGGCTGCTGGAGGCTGGCCCAGGGCCAACTTTCGACGGGGGCCCAGGAGCTTTTGGGGCATTGGAAGTGTTTAGTGCCTGACCGTGGTGGTGGTTACGGGATCATAGCCATTTGTCGAAACGTAAAGAACTATACCCCCAAAAGGGTGAATCTACTGCATGTAAATGGTAACTCAGTGAACCTGACCTTACAGGAAATGCTGGTGCCGCGCCGTACACGAGGTGTCATTTATTCTCGTCCCTTCTGACACTCTGCCCGACCAGCAGCGCTCACTCCTCCGCTTCCCTCCAGCTCTTTGGTTTCCAGGTGACGTCTCTGTCCCTGCCTGTCCCACATCAATTTGCAACCACTGCCTGGACAAGTGAGATCTGTAATTGCCTGGGAGAACAGCAAATCATCACCCTAGTAAGTGGCCACCACTGATGTGGCCCAGCTCCCTCCTGGGGACGCCTGTGCACACAGAAAGACCTAGGAAGGCGCCCCCCCCCCCACTGGCCTGCGGGAGCAGGTGCTCACTGGGCGGGGCGGGGCGCGGCCTCCCCACGTCTGGGAGCCCTGTGAAGGCAAAGGGATGTGGCATTTGCTCCCAAGCCCGCTCGACTGTGAGGGACACTCCCGGTAAATCGCCCTGGAGGCACCGACACCGGCCACACTGGCCTCTGAGTGGACGTGACATAAACATGTCATCGACGCAGTCGCCTCCCCCTTCAAGACCCACCACATCCATCTTTTTTTCTTAAACAAAGATTTTTATTTATTTACCTTTAGAGAGAAGGAAAGGGTCCCCCAACTGGGGGACCTGGCCCTCAGCCCAGGCATGTGCCCTGACTGGGAATTGAACCTGCAGCCTTTCAGTTCACAGCGAGGTTCAACCCACTGAGCCACACCAGCCAGCGCCCAGTATAAGCATCTCCTTTGGGGTAAAACTTGTTGTGATTGGTACCAGCCACCGCCCCCCTCACCTTCCAGCATTGGGATGGGTCCCCCTTGAGAGCTCACAGCCTTACACTGCATCTACAAGAGGATGTCAAGGCCACCGTGGGCTGAGGAGTGGTGGTCCACCACGACTCCAGGGGCGACTCCATCCACCTCACGGTGTAGGGCAAGTACACCCTTCGAAGTGGGCGGTGCACAGCGTGAGCAACAGTGAATGACAAGTACCTCCCACAACCCACCCCCAGACCAGGAGCTCTCACAGGTGAGGACGGCGGGTCCCTGTGCACACACCAGGATGAACCCTGGCTGGGCGCAGAATCGGCACTCAGTGTCTGACGGGCAGGGGTGCGGGCTGCAGCCACTCCTACCTCCAAAGACAGAGAGGCCCTAACCAGAACGAGCCCTGCTGGCCCTGGTGTGGCCCTGCCTTGAATCACACCCCCGCCCCCCCGCCAGGGAAACACTGAAGTCTCTAGTTCCACCTCGGCGCTCTCTAATGAGCTGTGGCCAAATCCGCACCTGGGTGCCAGCCCCTGTCAGTGGCCTCTCTGTACTTGGTCTACAGGGAGCTTGAAAGAGGACCGGACCCGAGCGACTGGCCAGCCTGTTAGGAAGCCGGAGGAGATGTTTGCCCTCGTGGTACTGAGGAACGGGACGAAACGACAGGAGAAGCAGCAGCCTGGGGGAGCGAGAGAAAGAGACCACAGTCCTGGAGCCAAGGGGCCTGGGTCCCAGTCCCAACCTGGTACCTGGGGGTGGTGAACCTGGGCTGCTTCATTCCTCTGTACGATGAGGGGCAGCTTCAAGGTGGGCTAGTTCCCATCCGGTTCCAGCTCGGGCAGTGAGTGCATGGGCCACCTGGAACCCTGCCAGCTCCACAGCAGGGTGGACCTCAACAGCTCTGGCCAACCAGGCACGGAGACACGATTCCAGGGGGCGCATCACAGCTGCGGGGAGAGAGCGCACTCGCTTCGAAGTCTGGGCAGCGCACAGGCTGTGCACTGTGTGATGGTGCTGGGCGGATCCTTCAGCAACACTCAGGGAGGCGGGGCACACACTACCCCTCCGACCAATGGGGAGGGGAGACGGGAACTGAGGCTCGGGACAGCCCTGGCTCGCCCTGGCTCAGGACACACCCCGAGAATCATGCATGTCCCCCGTCTAGGGGGTGCGAATGCACCCCTGGGCTCCGTGAACACAGCATGGGTCCGGGACAAGCACAGGCCACACCAGGGAGCCCCTGTCTGTGGGGAGCCTGACAGCCAACATGGAGCAGGCCCCAAAGAACAGTCCAGGGCACCCTAGACTATTTCTCTTTGGCCTAGGGGAAGAGTCCAGTCACCACCTTTAAATCTCTGTGGTCACTGTGTACCATGGATGGAAGCAATGTTGCAGTGTATGGTTGTGTGACCACAGGCAAGTTGGTTACCCTCTCGGTGCCCCCATTTCCTCACCTGTACAATGGGATAACAACAGTACCTGTCCACTTCACAGGGCTGTTGTTGAAGAATAAATGATGTTATCAGTATGACTATGATGAGCACTAAATGTGTCGGTTACTTCTTCTTAGTGGGCAGACAGAGCTAAGGGGGAGGCAATGGGGAGGCCAGCTTGTGTTCTGAGTAAAGAAAAGCTCTAAAGCCAGCTGACGACAGAGACCAATGGGCTGGCTTGGGAGGCCGTGAGCTGTCGGTTCTGAGTGGCTGAGCCCCGGGCGGACAGGCTGCAGTGGTGATGCTGCCTCAGTGGGGAGACGGACTAAGCTGAGTGTCCATCCTTTGAAACACCTGGTTCCCCAACCAACGAGCTTTGGCCAGAAAGTCCATTCAGCTCCCCAGTAGCTCCCCTCTCACCACAGAGTCAGAGAAGGAATGATGATTTATGACAGAAGAGACGGACCCAGCCTGTCACTGCCACTGAACCCGTACTGAAGCCAGACCTGCAGCCCTGGACCCGACCCTGCTCGCTGACACACCACACCGAGGCCTCAGCAATCCTCACAGACATGTGGCGTGTCAGCACAGGGGCCATCCAGGCGGGGACACCAGGGGGGTGGCCTGACAGACCTCCACTGGGTGGAAGCTCCCACTGGCATCTCTCCTGCCTTCTCCATTGCCTTGCTGGCTGTGCTCACTTTCTCACGGTTCCTAGATACCACAAGGAACCCTTGGGTAGTCGGGGCTCAGCAAAGGCTGCCTGTATGTGGGATCTTGCACAGAGGACCCAGGTTTCAGGGAAGTGGGGGCAGCCAGGTTTGTTAGACTGCAGCCTGCTTCCTGCAGGGTCTCGGTGCCCTGTGTCAGCCAGGCCCTGCTGAGGTCAAACTATAACTGCAAAGGTCTGGACTTGTTCTGTGAGTAGCTGGCAGGAGGGCACTGATGGGGGTTTGTGTCGGGACTCAGGCCTCAGAAGGGCCAGCAGAGGCTCTGTAAATGAGCT